AAATGGAATTCGGATCAAATTTTGTCAATACGATATCCACAATCTATCAAAAACAAAAGGCTAATATATTACTGAATGGAGAACTAACTAAGGCTTTTCAAATTAGAAAAGGGGTCCGACAAGGGTGCCCTCTATCCCCACTTCTATTTATCTTAGCACTAGAAGTATTCTTGAGAAAGATTAGGAACAATAATGAAATAAAGGGTCTGACAATCAGAAAAGAGATATATAAGACACAGGCATTTGCAGATGATGTGGTATTAATCATGGAAGAACCATTAGAATCAGGCACTAAAATTCTGGAAGAATTGGGCAATTACGGGGAGGTAGCAGGCCTTAAATTAAATAAATCCAAAACTAAATTATTAACAAAAAATATGACGGAGGCAAGGAAAAAAGTACTGGAAGAAACAATGGAGATCCAAATCGCCAAGAAGGTAAAATACCTGGGGGTCTGGATTTCATCAAGGTGCTCGGCCCTCAGAGAGGATAATTATTTACCATTAATTAGAAATATTAAACAGGATCTGGAAAAGTGGGGAAGACTACAGATATCATTATTAGGCAGAATCGCGGCAATAAAAATGAGCATATTACCCAAGTTATTGTATCTATTCCGAACGGTCCCTGTTAAATTAGATAAAAAATTCTTTCTGGAGCTCAATAGCATCATCAGGAAATTTATTTGGGAGGGAAAGAAACCAAGGATAGCGATTAGGAATTTACAGGACAAGAAGGAAAGAGGGGGTTTCGGATTACCTAAATGGGAGTTATATCAAAAAGCTGCAAACCTAGTATGGCTGAAAGAATGGGCAACCCTAAGAAATAAAAGACTGTTAACTCTAGAAGGGTATGATCTCCAGAAGGGGTGGCATGCATATCTCTGGGATACTGGGAAGAAGATAAAAACTTACTTCCATAGACATAAAATAAGGGACATCTTGATACAAATATGGGGAGAGATGAGACAGAAGCACTATAGGAAAATTCCGAGATGGCTTTCCACCATGGAGGCTATAATATATCCAAATGTATTAGAAATGGGTAAAACGTTCAGATACAATGAATTATTAGATGGGGGAGGGAACCTTAAAACAAGGGAAGAATTGATGGAACAAGGTATTTCTATAGACTGGTGGCCATATAACCAAATTAAATCCAGATATAAAAAAGATAAGGAGGAATTCGGCATTGAAATGAGCATAAATGGATTTGATAAGATATGGATGGGTACGGACGACAAAATTTTAGCTAAATTATATAATTATTTATTGGAGTATGATATGGCAGAGGAAGTAGTTAAAGAACCGATGTTAGCATGGGCCAAAAATATAGGACAGAATATAAATTTGAACGAATGGGATTCAATATGGAATAACAACCTTAAAATGACAAAGGCGACGGCTTATAAGGAAAACCAATACAAGCTGTTTTATAGATGGCATATGGCCCCAGCCAGGATAGCGAAGATCTACCCCAATTCGAGCCCTAAATGTTGGAAATGTGACCATCAGCAGGGTACTTTTTATCATTGCTGGTGGACATGTAATCAGGCACAAAAATTCTGGAGGATGATATGGGTATGGATTAGAGAAATAATAAAAGAAAATTTTGATTTTGACCCAAAAGCTTTTCTCCTGGGAATTTTGAAAACTGAATATGCAAAAAAGAAAAAGTATTTAATTATACATATTCTGACAGCCGCTAGAATTTCCTTTGCCCAGTATTGGAAAGAAAAACAAATACCACCTCAAGAACATGTTATTGGAAAAATATTGGAGTGCGCCGAAATGAACAAATTGACTTCAGAAATTAATGACAGAGAAGATTCAGAATTTTATAGCGTGTGGGACATGTGGTACGAATGGATGGGGGAAAGAAATAAAGAAGGTAATAGAGATTAAATTTTAACTAATTAACAAAATCTATATGAATAGTATTAGATTTAGTCTTAGGGAGTTGAGCACTATTATTTTTAAATGTTTGAAATTAAATCTAGCTCCAAGAAACAATATCAACAAAAGACAAGCAATAATGTATGCAGATGTATATATGTATATAACTGCACCAATGAACCGAAAATGTACCGATTGTATTACTATATGTTATAATAAAATCAAATTCAAAAAAAAAAAAAAAAAAAAGAAAAATTCTTGGAGACCACTTAGAAAATCTACATATTGACAAAATTTACATGTGTCAATTACAAGAGGCCACTCTGACTAGATTCACATATACTACACTGATCCTACAACATCCTAAATTCTTGAGTTATAACTTGAAACTTATGAAGGCCAATATCAGCTAAAGAACTGGCAGCTGTGATTTTACATTATAGTGAACGTAATGATAATGATAATGAAAAAAGGAATATAAAATTCATTTTTCAACTTGATACAAATGAAAATCATGCACCAAATATGAAAACAAAAATAAAACAAATTAAAAAGTTATTGCACTTTGTGTTTAAGCTAGGTTGATAAAAAAGATTTCAATATTAATTAATTTGCCAATGCTTATATTCTGCTTATCTCCAAAATGTGGAGTGGCTAATATCCAAATAATAAAACTCACAAAATAATCATAATAATGAAACTCATAAAATAGAATTAAGATAATAATAATTAAAACAAAAAAACAATGTGATATCCAAGGGTTACAAGCAACCCACAATCGACCTCTAAATCTCCAAATGCTACATCTGGGTTTTTTTTTTCCCGAAGTGCATTCATTAACATTGTAAAAATGTTATTTAGCATCACTCTGAAATACTCCTTCCTTCTCAATGACATAAAATATATATTTCAAAAAGCCATTAAACAGATAAAATAATAGAAATGTAGAAATATCATAACTATGATAGCATTTTTAGAATTAATGATGTTTTGGTATAGGAAAATGTAACTGAGGAAAATAAAATAAAAACACGTTTGCATTTGTTTCAATAAGCTGAAATTCATAATCTTTTCTGAGTTTTGAATTACAGTAATTGAAAACATATTCCTTGTTTTGCTGTTAAGTATTTCCATTAAACAGTATTACATTGATTATGGCTGAAATGAAAATGCAGGGGGGATACATTCAGAATGTTGGTCATTCTAAATGTCAGTCAACAGTCAATTTATTTGGATGAGTTTTATTTTATTGTTTTATTTATTCCATTTCTATAGCTGCCCAGATCAATCAATGACTCTGGATGGCTTACAATTCAGAAAATATATTACAATTAAAACATTAAAAACACTTAAAAGAATACAAAAAACCCCATCCAAATTAAATCTATATAGCAGCCAAGAGATACTTGGCCAATTAGCAATAAAGCCAGGAAATGCAGCCCCTGACACATTTCGCACTCCAGGCTTGGGAACATAGCCAGATTTTTAGGACCTTAAAAAAGACTTAGAAGGTGGGGTCATTCTAATGTCCAATGGGAGGATGTTCCACAGAGCAGAGGCCACTGCAGAAAAAACTCATTTTCTACTCCCTACCAGTCAACACTCTTTGGCTGATGGAATCTGCAGCATGCCCATTTGGCTAAATTGAGTTAGAGGAGTGCTGACTCTTGGAAAAAAGATGATTTCTCCAGGTAATCCATTCCTAAACCATGTAGATTAAAAGTTAAAAGTTCTGGCCAGGATCTTAACAAAAGTGAGTTTGAAATCTTATTGTGAGCATGTCTCATAGGACAGCATTCCATGATAGCAGACAAGACACCATGATAGGGTCCTTTCTCCAATCACCAATATTCTATTGTCCAAGATGATGAGACAGAAAGGCATTTATTAAATTCCAGTGTGAACATTAAATCTCATAAGTTCTGATATCAGTTAAGTTAACAACTATTGATCTTTTGTTGCATATGAAGTTCCCACTGATGATAATCAAGAAAAAACTGTTCTCTTAAGTGATCACCAGTGTGATTTAAAAATAAGAATGCTCACTTTGCCTCATAACATCATTTCTATGTGGTAACCTATTGCCTGAGTAAGCTCCAGTGGATGAAGATCTATGATAAAAACCATAAGACTCCATTTATTTTGGACCTCAGTCATCTTCAATTAGCCACAATGGTGCCAAAATGAAGAAATGGGTATCATGGTATCACAATACCTTTTCCATACTTGCATCACAGTTTGCATGCAAGTGGATAATGTCAAGTCTTTTGCCACTTGACCTCCTCATGTGCCCATCTATAGATGCCTCAATTTAGAAACAATGCATACTATTAATTGTGACTGGAAAGCAACTGACAAACCATTTATATTTCATGAACTGGAGATACATGTACTCTTTAACTGGCTGCTGTGTGCTATATTAAGGAAAGTAAGCAGGACTGCCCATGAACTAGAATAAAATAAAAGGATTGGTTGGCATTTGTAAAAGTGTCCAGAAATAGTCTTGAAAAAAAATATGGGGCAGTAATTAAGCCTTCCCCCAATAAGAAAGGAGTAAAGAAGAAACTCAAGAAATTCACCTTCAACCACAACAATACAGGAGCACACAATAGATACAAACTTAAGGTAAACCACTCCAAACTCGATTGCAGAAAATACGACCTCAGCAACAGAGTGGTAAATGCCTGGAATGCACTACCTGACTCTGTGGTTTCATCCCCCAACCCCCAAAACTTTAACCTTAGACTGTCTACTGTTGTCCTCACCCCATTCCTAAGAGGTCTGTAAGGGGCGTGCATAAGCACACCAATGTGCCTACCGTCTCTGTCCTAATGTCCTCATTTATTTGTATCCTTATCCTGTATTCATAATCATGTTTATACTTATATCTGCTATTTTATAAATGTTTGACAAACAAACAAACAAACAAACAAACAAATAAATAAATCTACCAGGCTTTCAAAATTCTGTTTTTATAGGTAGTCTCCATAAAGTAGAGTTCTAGTATTTTTTTGTAATGTCTATTTCCTGACCTGGTCTACTTCAAAGGGCTAACATTATCAGAGCCAAACTATGAGAATGTAAATTTGTAATGAAATTCTTAACCTTGACAGGCTGGTACAGGTACATCCCATGCATAGTATCCAAGGGGAGATTTTCTACACACAGCAGTACTTTTCCCAACGAGACGGAATCCTCGGTCACAAGCCCAGCGAACCATGCTGTTGAGTTGCCCTCCTGTCTGGCTTACAATGAAACCGTGAGGTGGTGACTCTGGAGTACTGCAGTAAACAGCTTGAAAAATGGAACAAAAGAAACAATGCATGAATTTCTTCCTCTTATGGATGTTAATTATTGCACTGTTTAATACCAGACAGGTGTCTGCAGGAATTATATGTGTGATTGGATTTTAGCAATGATGCTACAAACAACGGGAAAATAAAACTGCTTGTTTACCTAAACTACAAAAATAAATCCATTTATCTTGGGTTTATATTACAAGAGATCTTTACCCTGGCATCATTTCTCTTCTGGGGAAATGGGAATCATGGAAAGACAGAAAGTGAGATCTATATAGCTAAACTAAAGTTCCAATCAGCCAACAGGATGTTGCAACTTCCAATGTTCTTATAGCCATGTGTAAAGGGATATTGCAAATATCAGTATTGAAATAAATCTTATAAATAAGAACCAAAGAGTTTTGCATTTTTTCCCAAATTCTGACATTATGAATTTTCCCATTGGTAAAAAAAAAAAAAAGTCACTTACAAATACAATTTTACTTATACTGTATTAACTGTCATCTGTTTAATTTTTCCATTAGAAGATTTTACACATTTGTAATTGATACTTGTTTTTAACATGAGCTCAAGGTAATTTAATATTGGAAAGAAAGATTAAGAAAGATGATATATATATGCTGGCTGGATAAAAGAAATGTCAATGCTTTGTCAGGAAGAGAAAGACAGAGAGCCACAAAACATATTATGTGGAATATGGAAATGACTTGTTAATTTTCTATAAATGTACATCTCTCTTTCTCTTTCTTTCTCTTTCTCTTGTCCCCTCCAGTGGAGTTTTGCTTAGCAGACTGTCTTTCACATCCATATCTTCTTATGAGGAGACTACTGATAAGAAAAAATGAAGAAAACCCAGCTTATAATTTAAAGGTTCTTTAAGCTTCTTGAGTTGAAACCAAAATCTAAAGAAATCTAAACAGAATTACATGCTTCATGGTTGCCCACATTTCTAAACACAAATAAGCAAAAGTTTAAGAGAAAGTATATTGTTCCTGAATGAGTTGCTATGATTTAGATGATGTTGTCACCTTCCTTGAAGGCAAACAAATTATACTGAGGTCATTTGGTGGTTGCCTACTTTGAACTAGAGAAAAAAAAAAGAAAGAAAGAAAGAAAGAAAGAAAGAAAGAAAGAAAGAGAAAAAGAAGGAAGGAAAAAAGGTAGAAAGGAAGGAAGGAAGAAAGGAAAGAAGGAAGGAAAGTTAGAAAGAAAGAAAGAAAGAAAGAAAGAAAGAAAGAAAGAAAGAAAGAGAAGAAAGGAAGGAAGGAAGGAAAAAAGGTAAAAAGGAAGGAAGGAAGGAAGGAAGAAAAGAAAGAAAGAAAGAAAGAAAGAAAGAAAGAAAGAAAGAAAGAAAGAAAGAAAGAAGGAAAACCATCATATCTTCTGGTTAGATATTATATTGACAATAGAACTGAACTTGCATTTAGTTGGATTTTAAAATCACATCTTCCAAGATCTTATTTCCCCCTTCTCTATACAGTTTGTCCAGCTTCCATTTCTCTTCCATCCCAATCTGCTAGTTGTTACCTTTATTGATTCTTTTGAAGTAGAGTGAAAAAAAAAAAGAAGAAGAAGGGGTGACTTACCTATGTATCTTATCCTAAAACCTTTTTTGTTGGTACCATGGTCTGCTGACCATCGGAGAAATACTTCATGGCCAGTGCTTGTTATATTGAGAGAGGAGGTATAATCTCCACTTAAGGAGATGAGCAATGGACTATGACTATTTGGTCCTTGATCCCAGGGAACACATATGAGGAAAAAAGAAAGACCAAAATTAGAGAAATGTTAAATGTTTTTATTGGATATATAATTATTTGAATAATGCAATATTGCAGCCATCTGTTCATAGCATATGGAAATGTTTATTAATTGCATACATTAATTGTATGCAACAATTACACTGTGTTATTTCTGATACAATGCATAATGTAATATTACTTGCTAAAAGACCTATTATGCATTCAAAGTTGAATATCCTTTAGTTACCATCAAACACCTCAAGTATATCAAATTCTTTTTCAGTCTGGAAGAATTCATAGTAAAGGCTGATATTGTAACCCTTTTCCACTGTAATGGTCCAAGCACACATTTGAAGGTTTGGATAGCTATCTGGGTAGCCTGGGCTCAGGATCACTCCAGTTGAATCAAGGCGCAATTCATTTGCAGGACACAATACTGCGAGAGAGAGAGAGAAAGAGAGAGAGAGAGAGAGAGAGGGACAGAAAGAAAAACAGAGACAGAGAGACAGACAGAGAAATAAAGAGAAAAGAGACAAGAAAATGAGCTGTAAACAACTGAATAACTGAAACGATATAGGATATTTGAGGTCTTTTCAACTTGAACATCAAACACTTCACCCCAAATACATCAAAACATGGATAAATGTCTGGAAACAGTTGAGAAGAAATGTATTCAGATTCTTTTATTTGATACATTCACCTTTGTATATTTAGATAATCTTTTCTGAAATGATATCTATTTATCCAAGTATATCTTATTATGTATCAATAATTATTCCAAATAATTGTCACTTCAGATAGAATAGGGATGCAGCATTTATTGACTCTCAACATCCTTTGTGGACTGTAAATCTACACTTTGAAGAAATTTTGATCTCTTAATTTTGATGTCCACTCCTCTGCTTGCAACAGAATGCCTTATGCCACCAGGCTTGAAATTTTGGGCTTAGGCAACTTAGAACTACGCTGCCTTCGATCTGACCTAAGCATAGTGCACAAAACTATCTGCTACAACATCCTATCTGTCAATCACTACTTCAGCTTCAACCGCAACAATACACGAGCACACAATAGATACAAACTTAAGGTAAACCGCTCCAAACTCGATTGCAGAAATACAACTTCAGCAACAGAGTGGTCAATGTCTAGAATGCACTACCTGACTCTGTGGTTTCTTCCCCAAACCCCCAAAACTTTAACCTTAGACTGTCTACTGTTAACCTCACCCCATTCCTAAGAGGTCTGTAAGGGGCATGCATAAGCACACCTACGTGCCTACCATTTCTGTCCTACTGTCTCCATTTGTTGTATCCATTTCCTGTATTCATAATCATGTTTATACTTATATCTGTTATCTTATACATGCTTGACAAATAAAATAAATAAATAAATAAATAAATAAATAAATAAATAAATAAATAAGTAAGTAAGTAAGTAAGTAAGTAAGTAAATAAGTAAATAAGTAAATAAGTAAATAAGTAAATAAATAAGACTTGCCAGACTTAAGGAGCCATTTTACTCCTTAGTTCTTGCATTTCCCTCCCCTGATAAAATGGTTCCTGGCCTCAGTCACTTTTTGAGTCTGTACATTGATACATTATGTATCTCTTGAAATGGCAGAAAGTTTGCATAGTTAAAGTAAATTACATCTTTCAATGAGGGGTTCTTGGTGCTCTCTGAGCTTGGTTGTTTTCTTGCAGATGTTTCATTGCCCAAACTAGATAACACCATTAGTGTTCAAATCTCTTAAAGATTTGAAAAAGAAAGGTTTTTCAATAGGGATAGGTTAGTTAACTACATAAAGGATTTGGTATATACTGTAGTTGTAGTATACACCAAATATATATACTTCTTCTCTTCTCTTCTTTCTTCAACCTCCAAGAAGGTGGCTCTGTGGGGACACTAGGCTGATATTCTCAGTGCTTCAAAGGTACCAAACTATTGGGGCTGTGCAAAGAGAGGGATACTTCAGTGTCAGAATATTCATGAACTGGCAGAGACATGGTAACAAGGTCAGGCAATGAATAGGCATAGCAACTGGATCAGCCAATGAGGGTTATTTGGAGACAGAAGCTTAAGCAAGAAGTCTGGGCATGGCTGAGCTCTGTGCTCAGCTCTAAAACGAAACTACCGTATTTTCCGGCGTATAAGACGACTTTTTAACACATGAAAATCTTCTCAAAAGTCGGGGGTCGTCTTATACGCCGGGTGTCGTTCTCCTGTAACCAGGCAGACCAGCCCGAAAGGCTCTGACGAGCCTTAAATGGCTCTGGCGATCCCAGCTCTGGCGATCCCAGCTCTGGCGATCCCAGCTCTGGCGATCCCAGCTCTGGCGATCCCAGCTGAGTTCCCTGCAACTCAGCTGGGATCGCCAGAAACCACGTAAAAGGAAAAAAGTTTTTTCCCTTTTACTCTGGCGATCCCAGCTCTGACGATCCCAGCTGAGTTCCCTGCAACTCAGCTGGGATCGCCAGAACCATGGCTCTGACGGTCCCAGTTCTGACGGTCGATCCCATCCCAGCTGAGTTCCTTGCAACTCAGCTGGGATGGCCAGAGCCATGTAAAATGGAAAAAGTTTTCTCCCTCCAGCTTGCTTACCTCAGCTGCTAGTCGCAACGCTTGCCTTGCTTTGCTTGCCTGAATCTATTCAGGCAAGCAAGCAACTCCCTGCCTGTAATCAAGCAAGGAGTTAGTTGTGGACTTCAACTCCCAGAATTCCTCAGCCAGCAAAACAAAGCTGGCTGAGGAATTCTGGGAGTTGAAGTCTACAAGTCTTAAAGTTGCCAAGGTTGGAGACCCCTGTTCTATTGGGTAAGTTTTTTTCCCCTTTGGGAGCTTTAAAAAAATAGTCAATTGGGGTTTTTTTTAGTTGTTCTTTTTTAGACCTAGCCATTTAAAGTTTAGGAAGTTTTAAATTTAGCTTTCATATAAAAATAAAAATAAAATAAAATAAAACAATATTTGTGCAGCTTTCTGAGATTTAGTGTGTTTCTGTAGTGTTTCACTCCAACTACACAAACACACAAAATCTCACAAAGCTGTATGTGGAATTTTGTGTGTGTAAAGTGTGAAAGTTGGTTTTTTGGATTTTTTGTGGCTGTGTGAGGTTCCTGCTTGTTGCAGGGGCCATTTTGGGTCTAGCACAGCTGCTTTTACATTGTGGGTGAGCCAGTTGTGTTGTGTTGTGTGTGTTTAGAGTGTGAAAGTTTTTTTGGGGGGCTTTTTGTGGCTGTGTGAGGTTCCTGCTTATTACAGGGGCCATTTTGGGTCTAGCACAGCTGCTTTTACATTGTAGGTGAGCCAGTTGATGTTTTTTAATTTTTATTTGGTGTGCATTGGAAGAGGGGCAGTCTTATATGGCGAGTATAGCCCAAATCCTATATTTTAACAGGAAAAGTTGGGGGTCGTCTTATACGCCCAGTCGTCTTATACGCCGGAAAATACGGTAGTCTGCTACTAGAAGTGAAAGCAATCTCTCCTCTCTAACACATTGGAAGAATCTGCTGTTGGTATTGTAAATTTACTTCCTGTGTTATTATGTATATAAAGAAGTTAATGAATCCTGTTGAATTAGTTTACCTGTGTATGCTTTCTGGATTTGATTTTTGCAACAAACTCTGACATTGAGGACATTCAGAAAGGTGCAGGAGTTAACTCTTGTTTAATCCTTAAAACAGGTGTGTTTTATCAGTCCCTAGAATCTCTCTAATCGATATACCATACATTTCAAGTGATGTAGGTGCTCCTGTCTCTAGACTGACTCTGATCAGTTCACAGTATAAGAACTAGTTTAAGAAAAAAATGAACAGTCTACATAGAAAGCGGTAAACTTGATAACATATCCTGGGACAATCAGGGCCTTATTGTCCTCCAGAACATTGTTAAGGTGAGCACCATTCAGATCTCAGAGGAAAACTCATTCCATCAGGCAGGCACCACAAGACTTAACTAAACTTCCATAAATTTAATAGAATTTCCTTCCAGCCGAGCAAGTTGGTCATTGATCAACTGAATGGCTTGCCTGCTCTTTTTGTCTCTCTACTTAGCATATGCTTAGTATGCTTTGTGTCTGAAAATAAATGGAGCTATTTCCAAGTCTGCCCAACAGGCTTTCACTTCTTTTCCCTGGTATTGTTTTCTTTTCTCTTTTTTAGACATGCCTGCATAATTTGGAGAAAAAGAAAAGGATTCTCAGCCCCAGAAGTTACGTTTTGCTCTTTGTGAAATGATGTGCTATTCAAATATTTCAGCGTTGCTCTTTGTGAAATGATGTGCTATTCAAATATTTCGGTGGCACAGATTATTTTTATCCTTTGAGAATATAATAATTAAACCTTGCTAAATAAATGGATTAATAAACAATTCCTAGATAATGGATATTTTTTTTAAAAAAAAGAAGTTAAGAGAATGTGCATATTTTTTTCATAAAATGCCTAGCCATTTAATAGCAAAGCTATTCACAACTAAACAGTTTTTTTTAATTAAACATTTGATGACTTGAGCCATATTTCCCTTAAGTGCTTAATTGAATGTTAGTCCTAATACAGATAGACTATTACCTGTTTTCTACTATCACAATTATGATGACTGAAGAAAAAAAAATACTATGTCAACTCTAGATTGAAAATCTATTAATACCATATGCTTGGTGAAATATGCAGGTGAAATTAAATAATACTTGACTCTCTAACTCTTTCCCTTCAAGGAATTAATTTTTGTGTTCTATAATGCTTCTTCTCTGCAATAGAGTAAGATGACAGAGATATAAGTTTCTGGGTTGAGGATAGAATAAATATTTTAAAAAGTCAATTTGATGGTCAATTTGATTGAAGCCCATTATTGTTACACAGTATATATTTCTGATGTTTATTTATTTATTTATTTATTTATTTATTCGCATTTCTATACCGCCCTTCTCCTTTCGGACTCAGGGCGGTGAACAGCCAGATAAAAAACATCTATACAAACATCACAATTAAAATAAAATTAAGATAATTTATAAATTTGGCTCATAATTTAAAACTTGTCAATTAAAATAAATATTAAAATTTTAAAAATTTTAAAACTAACCCTAAAATCAGGACAGACCAGCTAGTTGAAAAAAATGAGTTTTTAGGGCCCGACGAAAAATCCGGAGGTCGGAGATCACTCGTATCTCTGGGGGTAGATTGTTCCATAGGGTAGGTGCCACCACAGAGAAGGCTCTCCTCCTGGGGGTCGTCAGCCGGCATTGTCTGGCCGACGGCACCCTGAGGAGACCCTCTCTGTGGGAGCGAACCGGCCGGTGGGAGGCTATTGGTGGCAGAAGGCGGTCCCGTAAGTACCCTGGCCCTAGGCCATGGAGCGCTTTAAAGGTATGTTGATACACATACTGTAGTTCTGATCAATGGTAAAAGGTACCATCCAAACACATGTAAGATGGATGATGAAACCTATGAGCTGCTCCTCCCATAGACAGGAACAGCTTAAATTATCCTTATAAGGCAACATTCACAATGAGCTGAATTGATCTTGAATGGCAACAGGTAGAAGAATCGGTAAAATCGGTAAAAGCAAATCGGTAGAATCGGTAAAAGCAAATTGTTCCTGTTCACCAGTAGTGGGTTTCAATTTAGTTTGCTACCGGCTCGCTCGTGCATGAGTGCTCGCACGCAACTCTTCTGCCCATGTGCAGAAGCGTCTGGGTGGGTGGGTGGAGACTCCCGCCACCGCCGCTACCAGTTTGCACGATCCAGGGCAAACCAGTAGCAACCCACCATTGCTGTTCACCAATATATGTCAAATATACCAGGTCTGGTATAGTATGAGGGTATAAATATTAAGATATCACGGGTTGGTATATCTAATATTCCATTGTAAACTATAATTTCCAATGTGTCTGCCTTTTCCCTTTGCTTTGTGTGTGCAATGTAGTAGACCAAAGAAATATAAGCTCTGATTCTGCTTTTGATGAGGGCTACTCAGCATCACTGGCAATCCAGGATACACCATTTATTGCATGCAAATAAAATTATATCTCTTCAGAGTGATTTGATAGCTTTAGGCAAGCCAGGCACAACACCATCTTCTAGAATTTTTTTTTAAACCTCTCTACATGTACCTTTGGATGGAAGATTAAAATGAGAACAAAATAGCATCTATTCTTTTATTAGGAATGTAGACAGTGATTATGACTTATCTTTAATCGAGTTGCTAGGTGTGGATTTTTAGCAATATGTTCGAAAGGTCAATATTTCTAATAAAAGGAGTAGCAATTTCCAGGTTTCAGCAGTTTCAATTAAAGGTATTAAGAATGATGAATACCTATGAGTTCAAGAACCTTACATATTAAGTGACAATAGACTAAGCATATTGTAACATTATCATTTAATTAAAAAAATGAAATTTTCTCTGCATCTTTTGTATTTAATAAAATACAGTTAATAAAAATATATCAGAAAATGAATGTTTAGGAAACTTCTGATCTGTTCATAGATACCTTATTTCTGTCCCTAAGCATTACACAGCTTCTGATTTGAGTTTCCTCAACTTGCTTTTTTGAAAAATAACCAAAGATTATTTTTTTAATGGAAATTTTCAAGATCCTTGCTTTTCCACTCATAGATGGGATGGGATGGGATGGGATGGGATGGCATAGCATGGGATGGGATGGGATGGGATGGGATGGGATGGGATGAGATGATAGAACATGAGTAATTGCAATCCCTTGGTGGATCATTCGTTTGTTTGTTCATTGAACTAATGCACCGCTTATCTTTTTCAAAGGGAAAATACAAATGGTCCCAATAAGTTTTGGAAAGTTTTTGCTAAATAGTATCTCTCTCTCCCACAAATGGCTGATTATTATTTTGATTGAAAAGGGTCAAGTGGCATTTGAAATAAACAAGTTATTAAAGGTATGGATCACCAAATGAATAGAATTTCATGGAGCACCCTCAAAAGAAAAGAATACTATATTATTTGTAGCATAAAAACTAAAGGAGAGCTGGTGCCAATCTAGAACATTTAAATCATTTGAATTTGAATCTACCACAACTATGAGGAATAAGTTTGGCTAAAAAATAAGGACTGTCCCAAAGTCATTCAGTGAATTTTTATGTCTACATATGAACTTCAGTCATGGATCTTTCTAATCCTAGTCTAACATCTTAGCCACCTGGTCACTCAATTGTTTAGTCACTTCTGACTCTTCATGATTTAATGGACAACTATTTGCCAGGATTGTCTGTCAGCTACTTTGAAGTCTTGTAAGTGTGTGCTTTGACATCAGTAATTACAGTCAGCCATCTCACCTTTTGTCAGCTTCTTTCTTGATTGCCATCAAATTTTCCAAACAGCTTCTTAAAAGCTTCTTGTTCTACAGTATATGTCCAAAATATTTAAGCTTTATCTTTATTATTAGTGCTCCAGTGAACAAATTGATTTTACTGTGTCTGGTATTTAATGATTTGCTCTTTTTGATGTTCAACAATTCTCTCCAGAAGCACAGTTTTAAGGCACCAGATTTTCATCATTCACTGTTTCTGATGGTCTAGTTTTAATAGCCATATATTATGATTGAGAAGACCATGGCTGCAATACTACTTGTGTTCTCTTACCCATAGCACAGGGTAAGAAAAAGGAAAGGAAATAAGAAGGCAATGCACATAAACCACTTTTGAATAAATGCTTTCAGGGATGGTTCACATTTGCCTCCTGGATATTCCTCAACTTCAATTCAAACTTAGTCAGTATTCCCATTATATATATGACTCTTCCCTGGTGTTTATCAATGCTAACTAAATAGTACATGCAGGACATCAAAGTAAGCAAATATATACTAAAAAGAGTTTTTAAAAAAGAGTTTAAAACCTTGGCAAGAAGGTGGTGTGCCATCCATCTGCAATCTCTCTCCTAGTCGACATGTCAGAATTTCATTACCAACTAATGTAAAACCTGGTAGACACTGGTACCTTATTATGTCCCCTGCATAATAAAAAAAGGAGGAAAAGAGAAAGATTGTAGTTAAACAGCAATTAATGTGGACTTTCAGTGTTGACAATAGCATTGATTAATAAAGCACGTTTCCCACCCTATATAATGTGAAAATGACCACTAGCACAAATAGGTTCCATTAGACAGAGGAAATGATGTGGCAAATAAGCCACCTAATTTGTCATTTCATGCCAGCTATGCTATTAATGTGACTCACACATTTGCATGATCATGAATTTGTGGAGTTGAAAAGTTTTATATTTTGTTGTAGCTATTTCAGCCATTAAAAAAGAACATCTATTTTTCTTATTTCTAGTACTAGTTTCAGAAATTATATATCTATAATAGCCATCAAGTTAATGTTGACTCTTCATAACCACATAAATAGATTTTTTCCCATGATAGACTCGTAGATAAATAGATTACCAAAAGTCAGGCCCCACAGACAATTTATTACATTACATTTTTTTTTAGTTGGTTGGTGACCATTTTCTTCTAAATATTTCCTTATATAGTACATTTGATGCTTGAACTTTGAACATTCCTAAGCACAGTAACTTTCCCCGGAATCAATCAATCAATCAATCAATCAATCAATCAATCATCAGTCTATCTATCTGTCTGTCTGTCTGTCTCCCTGTCTATTTATCCATCTAGAGTGTCTTTCAATACACTTTATATATGTTAATAAATGCATTTTATAATTAAAACTGAAGGAACTAAATACATGAACTGTCCTATAGATGTTACAATTAATTACTATGCATGAATTGATAGGATAGTGCAATGCATTAGAAAGGCACATATAGCAAAACATGTTGCTTAAATGAAACATGCCTCTTTAGAGCATTAAAGCAGCCCATCCTCTGGAAATCTTGCACATCTGTGAATGCTCTGCACAATTGTGCTTGCATTGCACTTTTGCTTCCTTGCTCTGAACAGAAATGTTCTCTATGTATATGAAAGAATGCACAGAGAATCAAGAAAACATTCTTTGGCGATTTTATTCAAGCATTTAAATGTTTCCAGAGTACATGGCTACTTTCATGCTTCTAGAGAGCCTAACATTTAATAAAAAAAACCTTGTTTTAATTCTTTGCAGAGCTGTGGTACTTGGCAGTATTTACCAATATTCTATTTTCCACATATCTGAATGTTTCCCTACTTTAGCGTCAACATCTTTAGAGAGAACACAATCTGAAATAGCTGTACCCATAAGCAGCAGAATGATTTCTTAAAACCTTTACAGAAAGGGAACATCTGATCGAACAAGCAAACTGGTTTTAAGGAAAATAGTCTTGAGCATTTAACCAGGTAATGGACATCAAATTGCCTCTGGCTGTACATGTCTGCCTCCTCCATCTGCACATTTTGCTGTTTAGTATCACAGCCAAACCCTATTGGCCAGATGAAGAATGCCACAGAGTGCAGAAGGTTTTACAACAGCAGTCAACTGAAGTATCTCAGAGGGACCATATAACTATAAAGTATGGCTATGGTAAAAATAGAAAAGGGCTCTTTGGATATACCTGGAGTGTCTGGGGAATTTTATAATAGGATGTCTTGATGCAGTTTCATTACTGATAAAATCAGCCTTGAATAGCTGAAATTACTTCAAGGTGTGTGAACAATTTAAAAATAGAAAATACTGTTTTTGCCACAAGCCAATTTAAGTGTTAAGCACTCTATTTTGGGAAAGAAAAATATGACTCTCTCTCTTTCTCTTTCTTTCATCTATCTATCTATCTATCTATCTATCTATCTATCTATCTATCATCTATCCATCCTGTTTCCCCTAAAATAAGACATCCCCTGATAATAAGCCCAATCGGGCTTTTGAGCACATGCACTAAAATACCCCCCCCTCCGAAAATAAGCTCTCCCTGAAAATATTTAAATGCATGCACAGCCAGTCCCTGCCATTTCCTTTGGTTAGGGTTAGGGAGACGGAACTGGAAATCAGGTAAGACAGCAAGAGGAGTCCCGTCTTGCTCCATGTGTCCCAAAATAATAAGACATCCCTGAAAATAAGGCCAAGCACTTATTTCGGGGTTCACAAAATATAAGACAGGGTCTTATTTTCAGGGAAACATGGTATCTATCTATCTATCTATCTATCTATCTATCTATCTATCTATCTATCTATCATCTATCATTATCTATCTATCTATCAAAATCTAACTATCTAGCTATCATAGTTCTTGATCTATAGCCATTAATTTAGCGATCGTTCAAAGTTACAACGGCACTGAAAAAGTGACTTGTGACTGTTTTTCACACTTATGACCTTTCCAGAATCCCCTTGGTCACATGTTCAAAATTCAGATGCTGGGCAACTGGCCCGTATTTATGACAGGTGCAGTATCCCAGCATCATCTATGACCACCTTCTTCAACCTTCTGATACATAAAGTCAATGGAGAAGCTGGATCCACTTAACAACCATGTTAAGTACTGCAGGCTACTTCTGCTGCCTGCCGGCTGCCTGCAATTTGGTAGTTCAAATCTCACCAGGCTCAAGGTTGACTCAGCCTTCCATCCTTCCGAAGTCAGTAAAATGAGGACCTAGATTGTTGAGGGCAATATGCTGACTCTGTAAACCACTTAGAGAGGGCTGTAAAGCACTGTGAAGTGCTATATAAGTCTAAGTACTATTACTATTACTATTGCTATAGTACAGTGGTGGCCAACCTTTTACTCACCGAATGCCAAACAGGTTTGTGCAAAGCGCGCACATGCCATCCGTGTAATGTGTGGCTCTTCCGCATGTGCTGCGCGCGCAACTGCACCATCTGTGCATGCGCAAAGCTTTCGTCTGCCCCCCGTACGCTGCACGCACAACCACATCATCTGTGCATGTGCACAGCTTTCACACTTGCATCCCACCGTGCGCTGCACACGCAATTGCACCATCTGCGCATGCATGTGGTTGTCTATATAAATATTAACTTTACCTATTTCAAATTCGTCATCCTCAGTCAGAACTTCAGCATTAGGTACACTAGGTGGAGGTTGACACACTCGAAGTTGATATGCTATGAAAGTAGCAGAAATGTTCCAATTAACACGCCGTTCCAGTTTATATTGTAACAATAAGCACATTAGTATTGAAAAAAATATATACAAGAAATTACAGGGACACTAGCTTGCATCTAACATTGCTCACAAATGACAAATTATTAGATTTATAAGATTTTATGGTTTTTGTAGGGAACATATGCATCCATTTCATAACATTTATGACAAACACCTTTATTGACATTTGTTGGTATATTTAACATATATTGATAAAATATATTCTAGCTATCAGTTCTGTTAATTAGATTCACAACTGTTAATCTGAACCAGAGGTGGGTTTCAGCAGGTTCTGACCAGTTCTGGAGAACCAGTAGCGGAAATTTTGAGTAGTTCAGAGAACCGGCAGTAAAAATTCTGACTGGCCCCGCCCCCATCTATTCTCTGCCTCCCAAGTCCCAGCTGATCGGGAGGAAGTGGGGATTTTTCAGTAACCTTCCCCTGGAGTGGGGTGGGAATGAAGATTTTACAGTATCCTTCCCCTGCCATGCCCACCAAGCCACGCCCACAGAACCAGTAGTAAAAAAAAATTGAAACCCACCACTAGTCTGAACAGATATATCTACCAAATGTGTGCTCCTTAAAGGCTACACAGAACTTGTACCTCTGTACTACATTTTATATTATACCATTTTTATTAAAATGCTACGGTGCTTTTATTTAAAAAATGCTACATTATATAATTTGTAATGAACAAAAGGTGGAATAAGATGACTTTCAAAGTATTGTCCTCCTCTCCTTGCTTCCTTCTACTCTTGATGTATGCTATAGAAATCAATGTATCATTATTATGGTTCGTTCTACATTCAGCCAGATGCTTAGACTGGATTTGGCATTTTTCTCCACTTATTGAGTCCTTCCCAAGGACCTGTATTGGAAGATGATGTTGTTTTATGGTGTTAAAGGTATCATCATAGAAACTATTCCAAGTAAAGCTGCCTTTTGCAATTGATTGATAGGGATTTTCTCAATGCCAATGGGACATTTCAGGTACAAAGTTTGCCCTGCTCTGTTATTAGATTCTCATTCTACCTCTTGGCCTACTTATAAATCCTCATGTTTACTGTCATACAATTATTACTGCCAAGCAGAAATAATTTACCAATCCAATTAGGAATATGTCCTTTGTGTTTATTATTATTAAAAAAGAGAAAAGAATAGACATGCACACATATCCTTCAGGTGTGCGACACTCACCATGGTAACTAAGGACGAAGAAGCCACTTGTTGTAAAATCACTATGGAACTTTATTAGAACCTGGTTTGAGGTGCTGTAGACAGATTCCAATGCAGTGTTGCCACTAAATTGACCAATTTGTGGTGAATTTTGCTCAGGTCCATCCCTAGAACAAAGAGAGAAAGAGAAACAGAGAAAGAGAAAGAGAGAAGGGAGGGAGGGAGGGAGGGAAAAAGGAAGGAAGGAAGGAAGGAAGGAAGGAAGGAAGGAAGGAAGGAAGGAAGGAAGGAAGGAAGGAAGGAAGAAATCTCACAGTTAAATAAATTTCCATTTGCTTTAAGAAAACATTCAAGGCACATCACAGGTGAAATGAAATGAGGCTAAATTCATAGAGAGCATCTGTTTGCCTTTACATTATTTTTCTTTTTCATTACAATGGAACTTGAGATGAAATGTACACTGAAATGTACATCAACAGATGTGGAGAGGTAGATCCTGGAAAACACAATCAGTTTGTTTGGAATCCAAATAAATAAAACTAATAAATCATCATACAAAGCAAATAGCCTAGACTGAACATACCATTGTTTGCATTTAGCTAAAATAAAGTTCCACTCCATTATTTTTGTTTATACCTATTTTCTGTTACCCCTGATATACTGTATTTGTAGGAATATTTATTTTCTCATTTTGCTCTGGCCGCTCAGTTTTGAAGTCTCTAGGATGGTAAATATAATATTTTTCCTCTTGTTGTTTGAAATATGGGATTTATAGTAGTTTGAACTTTTCATACTCTTTTCCATTATGTGATATGCAACATGGTATTTTACACACTCACTCACCCACACACACACACACACACAGAGAGAGCACATTTTGGAATTCACGAGATTCTTTCTAATATATTTTATAGATGTTTGATATTCTGAAAACTATGTTTATAGAGTTGTTAGACATTTTTATTTTAATTTACATAAATCTTTGCTGTTTTCTGTAATATTAACGTATCTTCAAATACATGTTTGTTTTTGTGTTTATTTAGTAATCATTGTGAAAATATTTGTTTAACATTTAAAATGAATATTTTGCATGGATTTTTTAATAAGAAAGCTGCACTGCAAAATCTAAAATACAAACTTAGAACCTTCATGTTAAGTAACTAAATTTCAATGGTTAGATGTTAATATTGCAATTATTAAAAACCATGATAGATAAGACGATAGATGATAGATAGACAGACAGAAAGAAAGACAGACAGACAGACAATGAATGGTCTATGTTTTATTTCATACGTTTGAATCAAATATTTAGATAGAAACCGTGTTTCCCTGAAAATAAGACCCTGTCTTATATTTTTTTGAACCCCGAAATAAGTGCTTGGCTTTATTTTCGGGGAGGTCTTATTATTTTGGGGCATGTGGAGCAAGATGGGGCTCCTCTTGCCCCCTTATCTGATTTTTAGCTCTGTTTAAATATTTTCAGGGAGGGCTTATTTTGGGGGGGAGGCTTATTTTAGCGCATGCGCTCAAAAGCCCGATTGGGCTTATTATCAGGGAATGTCTTATTTTACGGAAACAGGATAGATAGATAGATAGATAGATAGATAGATAGATAGATAATGTCTGGACTATGTTTTATTTCATACATTTGAAATAAGGAGACATTTGGCATATTATAGTGCAATATGCTAAATGTGTAAGAACTATAGAAATAAATGTGAATTTTGATTGAGAAGCAAGTATTTGTCAGTGATGTATCAACCTTAAATGTGTTTTATCACAAGCAGGTGGAATTATGTTCAGTGGTCCTTATTAATAGGTTTGGTCTTTTGAACATAAATTTACAGAATTCATAATGTAAATTTTATAAACATGTAATCCTAGAGTTACATTTTTCAAAGATACTGCTGAAGATCTTAACTGTAACTCTAACCCTAACTTATAGTGAACAATATTAATAGTGTGCTTACTAGTTGGGACAACATTCTTATAGAATACTTAGAATAGTAAACCAATATTTAAATCATCAAACATCTGAGCTGCTAAATTAATCAAAACAGTAATTTTCATTTAGTAATTTTGCTTGTTCCTATGCATGACTTATTGAATAATAAAAAAAATTACGGTAATTTTTGCTTACCAAACTGTTATAAAATCATATATTGGTTCTGTTTGAAGAACAGTAAAATTGATATAAATGCCATTTCCTGGTGGTACTCTTACAAGCCAAAAACAGTCTTGAAAATTTGGATATTCATCAGGATAGCCAGGTGAATATATTGTACCATTCATAGCAGTTATGTTTCCTCCACAAAGAGCTACGAGGAAGGAAGGAAGGAAAGAAGGAAGGAAGGAAGGAAGGAAGTTAAGTGTAGTAATTTCATAATATTTATGAATTTTCTAAAAAAAGATAATAGGAAAATATATATTTTATTGCTTTAGTATAAAAAGAACAAAACCAAATAACAAATAATAATTTGTTAGTGATAACAAATACAGACAGCCCCCCCCAAAAAAAGCAAAACAAAACTGAAACACATATTATGGATTTTTAGAAACCTTGTTTTATTTAACTTCACTTTATAAAATAATATTAAACAGTTAATTAAAATGAAAAATTTTCAGCATGAAGAACATCAGAAATTGTTCATCAAGGGAAAGAGAACCTGTATCATCAATCGAAGGCTACAATTCTAGAACCACAAAGTTTTCCCAACTTTGAAGGCATCATTTTTTTAGCTGCACCCTATGCTCAATAAATCCATGTTCTTATAGTGATATATCTTATATATAATTCAAACATACGTTCTTATTATTAAACCATTTTCACATTTGTAATGTTCTTCAACTAATATACAGTATATATATATTAAATGTGATATTACTATTTGTCATTTTGCAGAGTTTTTTCTTTCTTTCCACTTTTTGGTTTAATAATATATAAACCAAAAAGTGGAAAGAAAAAAAAACCCTCTGCAAAATGACAAATAGTAGTATCATATTTAATTAATTAATTAATTAGTCAACTAACTACATGTGTTTTAATATTTGGTTATTTTCCTACTTGTTTCGTAACTGATAAGCTGCCCAGAGTCACCTAATTAATGGACAATTAATTAATTAATTAATTAATTTTTATGCTCCATCTCCCTTATAAGGTGACTCTGGGCAGTTTATCAGTTACAAAACAAGTAGAAAAATAATCAAATATTAAAACATTAAAACGACACACGTTAAGATTTTAAAACCATATTGAAACCAAATCTAAAAGACGGATAGGATCGGGATTAGATCTTCTTACCCCTTCTTACATGCAATATAATAAAGTTAGCATTCATAAAGCTGCTTCCAATACCAGTCAGTCAATTTTAGTCAGTCTGACTTAAATTGCTATAGTTTATTTGCAGCGGGAATATTAATATAAAACCATGTATTTGGCTTACTAGACATAACAAAATGTAATGTGGATCTTTGATATTGGGCATGCCAAGAGTCTAGTGTAGAACCAATGAATGTGATTTGCAATCAATTAGAGAACAGATTTTGAAATATTTGCTGTTTCCCTTAAGCAATTTTCTTCTTATTTCCTTGGATGTCGTTCTGTTGCTCAACAGTCAAACTAATGTATAGATCAGTGGTGGGTTGCTCCTGGTTCTGTCCAGTTTTATAGAACCGGAAGTAAAACCGGCGGGAGTTTCCAGCCACCCGCCCCAACATCATCAACGGTGATCAGCGCACTCCCTACTGAGAACCAGTAGTAAAGGTAAGTAGAACCCACCCCTGATATAGATCCCTGTCCTGCTTTCAATCAGTTGACTATAGTTATTTTTTCAAAGATTGAATTTAAATTACAATATTCGAGCTTTTAATAGCTGGTGCTGTAAAAAATCAAAACCAAACATAAGAACTATAAAGTGTCTGTCTGTCTGTCTGTCTGTCTATCTATCTATCTTTTTGTCTGTCTGTCTGTCTGTCTATCTGTCTGACTATCTATCGAAAACATACCTTCACACCTTGGAAGAGGATGGTTCCAGTTACGACTAATTCCATGAAGGCAAGTAAGGGCTGAATTTCCAATTAAAGTGTATCCAAGAAAACACTCAAATGAAACAGTCTGTCCTACAGTAAAATCAGTTCCAATAACAAATCCATTTCGGAAGGGACGTGGATCAGGACAACTTTGCAATTGATATGCTGGGGAAAAATATATATAAATATGTTGGTGTACCACACACATGAAAGGTATTTCTTGACAAATACACAAACACAAATCTGTTTGCTTCTCTTTCTAACACATGGTTATATGAGTACACAATACTCATATAACCATAAGATAAAGGTTCCCCTCGCAGATATGTGCTAGTCGTTCCCGACTCTAGGGGGTGGTGCTCATCTCCGTTTCAAAGCCAAAAAACCAGCACTGTCCGAAGACGTCGCCACGGTCATGTGGCCGGCATGACTAAATGCCAAAGGCACACAGAACACTGTTACCTTCCCACGAAAAGTGATCTCTATTTTTCTACTTGCATTTTTTATGTGCTTTTGAACTGCTAGGTTGGCAGAAGTTGGGACAAGTAACAGGAGCTCACCCAGTTACGCGGCACTAGGAATTCGAACCGCTGAACTGCCAACCTTTCGATCGACAGCGTCTTAGCCACTGAGCTACCGCGTCCGTTCCATGATGTCATGGAATTGAAGACATCTTACTCATCTAAGTTTTCAGTTCTGGCTTCGCATTTCTGCAATACACTTGATATCTAATAAATAAATACCTTTCTCAACAAATGGAACCAAAGATCAGTTTTATTAAAAGGTTTAAATTGTGGCAAGTCTGGTAATAATGATAAATCCCCTTTGGCACACAAAACCTATGCACTGTTGGAAAATCTGTTTGGGCTTACATATTAATAGTGAATTGAATTCAATGGGAGGCACACCACACAACAAATTATTTATAAGACCAATTTTATTTAACCTCACATACTGAAATCATCCATTTTCATAATATCTTATGAGGACTGCCAACTTGGAAGAAAACTGGTCAGGAAAAAGAAACCAGGTTTCATAGAAACTGTTCTTTTCAATGGGGAGGTTTTTGTTCGGCTACCATATTTTTCGCAGTATAAAACGCACCTTTTTCCCCCTAAAAGGGGGTGAAAATTTAGGTGCGTCTTATACACCGAATGTAGCCCCACCCACTCACTGGCCTCGACTCTCAGCTGTTTTGCTCTCAGCTATTTTGCACAGGGCTCTGCTGCTTGCTGCAAGGAGATAAATTGCTGGAGCAGATTTTTTTTTCCCCTTGTGCTAATCAAGCTATGCTGAAAACGAAAATGAAAGTAAAGCAGGCTGTTTGCTGATTGCTGCAATGAGGCAAAATTGCTCAGAGGCAGAGGCAGAGGCAGATTTCTTGTTCTTCTTTTCCTCACCAAAAAAGGTAGGTGCGTCTTATACCCTGGTGCATCTTATACTTCGAAAAATACGGTACTTTAACTGTACCATTGCATGTGTGTGTGTGTGTGTGTGTGTGTGTGTTTGTGTGTGTGTGATTATATGCTCCCAAAAGTAAATAGTGGATCTAATTATCACGAGAAATAATTAGTAAGTAACATTGTAGATCATTTCAAACACAAACGAGACTGCAATCTGTTGGTAATGCTATAATTTGGGATAATGGACTTAATGGTCTATTTTATTCCACTTTATTTTATCCTATGATTTCCTTGAAATGAAATCACTGTGAACCAAAAACTAAAATAAGCCGTTCTTTATATTTCTATAGTTTCTCACTGTTTTTAATAATGTGCTTTGCATTGTAACATTATTAACATTTATAACAACAACAACAAAAAAAAGGTTATAGGTCATCACACACCTTGATACATAATATGAAATCCTTGTTTGTTCTGAGAATAATCGCTGTGAAAATATAAGCTGGTTTCATGCGTTGTACTGAAAAGGGAAGAAGGGAGCTGAGTTCCGCTGAGTCTACCAATTGCGGTGCTAACATCAGGTGATCCACTTCTAACTTCCAGATAATCATGGATTGTCTCCGTTGAAAAGTTTACAAATTGCAAGTGCACACCTGAAAATATTGGGTTTTTTTTTTTTTTTTAAAATCAACAGGATAAAATCCAACATTGTAATATTAATACAGGCAGTCCTTGGCTTACAACTGTTCATTTAATGACCATTCAAAGTTACAATGGCACTGAAAAAGTGACTTATGACTGTTTTTCCCACTTACAACCACTGCGGTATTCCCACAGTCATCTGATCAGAATTCTGATGCTTGGCAACTGACTCATATTTATGACAGTTGCAGTGTTCCAGGGTCATGTGATCCCCTTTTGCGACCTTCAGATACCAGAAACCAGATTCTCTCAACAACAGCATTAGTACCATAACAATTGCAATGATTCATGTAACAACTGTGGCAAGACAGGATGTAAAATGGAACAAAACTCACTTAACAAATGCCTCATCTAGTAATAGAAATTTTGGGCTCACTCACTTACAATTATGGTTGCAAGTTGAGGACTACCTATGCTATAATCCAGGAAGATACTCCACTATTAGACTAAACTACCAAAAAGAATATCTGTTTGTTTTCAATATATGAGACATTCAAATATTTGTAGCTCAGGGTTGAGCTGTGGGGACTTCGGCATGTACCAAACATAAATACATTAAATTAAAACAGAACAAAACAAAAATCTTCTAATATGAAACAATGCCATAAGCAATGTTTTCTTTTCTTGGAGCTTTGTACCATCAGAAAAGCACTACTAACCAAATGTATCTGACTTTGAAAGTACACAACTTCTCCATACACTTTGCCACTGCCATTGCCACTGCCAACACCAGATGCCCATTGGCTCATCCAACTTAGAATAACTTCTTCCATTCCAAGATCCAAGTTGTGTTCCCCCACCTCAAACTACACAAGGCAGCAGTGTAAAAATACCCTGGCCACAGCTGAAGTGGCACACCAAAGTAGAGTGAAGAGCATAGGGGCTCTATTCCATCTGAATGTCTATGGAGATTCTCAGTCATCCAGGTCATGGTTAGTCCCAAAGGTGTTTTTTCAAGAGGCAACTTGACTTTCTATTTTTTCTTTGAAGAGGTTTTGCTTCTCATCCAAGAAGTTTCTTGGATGAGAAGCGAAACGTCTTCAAAGAAAAACCAGAAAGTCCAGTTGCCTCTTGAAAAAGTACCTTTAGGTATTCCACCTGAACTGAGCACAAAGCCATTCATTTTTCTCAGACCTTCTAAAATTCCACAATGCCTGATTTAGCAAGCATGCCTTAAAGTTTTTGCTGAAACTGATTGTGGGAAAAAAATCACTTTTCTGTCTAGGCTTCAGAGCTATCCAAGTCACTGTTTCTAAACATTGGTTGCTTTAAGGCCATGATGGCGAACCTATGGCATGCGTGCCACAGGTGGCACGCAGAGCCCTCTCAGCGGGCACACCAGCCATCACCCCAGCCCAGTTCCACTGTGCATGTGAGTGCACCTCCCGCTGGCCAGCTGCTCTTTGGGTCTCTGCTGCCCATGCACGGGGCAGGGCCTTCCCCGATCTCTGCAGTTTCCCCCCCAGCACGCCCTACCTTTCTCCCCCCACTGCGCCCTACCTTTCTCCTGCATTCCTGCCACCTGTGCCTTCCCTGATCTCTGCAGGTCCCACCCTCTGCAGGTGTCACTCCATGGCAGAAATGGAGGAGAAAGCCTGGGGACGCGGGGGGAGAAACTGCAGAGATTGGGAAAGGCAGGAATGGAGGAGGAATGGAGGAGAAAGCCTGAGCACATGGGGGTGGGGTGGGGGGGCAGAGAGAAACTGCAAAGATCGCAAGTTCCCCCCCCGCGCCCATTTTTGGGCCTGAAAAGCCTCCTACACAAACCTAGAAACCAAAACGGGGGCCGGGACACATGCGCAGGGAACACAAGCGCATGTGTGGGGCGCTTGCATTGCATCTTGGGAATTGGGGCATGCGCGTGTGCATTTGCGCACGCGCGAGCGCGCTTTGGGCACTCAGCACCAAAAAAGGTTAACCATTACTGCTTTAAGGTGTGTAGACTTTTTGGCTGGGGAATTCTAGGCATTGAAGTCCACTCATTTTAAAGTAGCCAAAGTTGAAAAACAGATCTAAGTATATCCATTTGTCCATTGTGTCTCAAATAATAGTGGAGTACCATGTTTCCCCGAAAATAAGACCCTATCTTATATTTGTTTGAACCCTGAAATAAGCGCTTGGTCTTATTGCCATGCGCTCAAAAGCCTGATTGGGCTTATTATCAGGGGATGTCTTATTCTGGGGAAAACAGGGTATATATGCTATGGGTTAATCCAGTAGGGCCTTTCTAATGTTCTTATATTCAATATATTCCACTTTCTGATACACCTGACTGTTATGGAAGATTGTTCTGAAACCCTATGAAGCTCCTTGAAATGAACACACAAAACATAAAACTGAATGCTCCAAACAATTTCAGCCTAAATTCATGTTCAACAATGCATGGTGAGGAGACCTAACTTGGTAAATAAATATTTGTTATGCCTAGTTTTAAATGAGGTTCATATTTAATAGGCCTTCACTTCTGCTAAATGGTAGTAAAGGGAATAAGGCTTACCAAACCCAACAGGAAGCTTGATAGTCCATGTACAATCCAAACTACTGGGATAATTCCCAGGAAATCCTGGGCTAAGGATCACACCACTGAAGTCTGACATGGAACCACCACATTGCGCTACAAATGAAAGTGGGGGAAAAAAGCTGATTTAAACCATGTTCTCTTTAACTGGCTGCGTAGAATTCAGCTTTTAGAATTCTGAGAGCTCTGGCTGGGAATTCTCAGAGTTGAAATCCACACATTTCAAAATGGCCAAGTTTAAGAACACCATTTTAAAGAAATACACTGAAAAGAATGGGATTTTTTTTTCTGTTAGGCAATTATTTACATTAACACAGTTTATTCAAGGGTCTGAAGACAGCAGCATCTACAACTCCTTATTCTTTTGATCCAAATTTAGCCACAAGCTCTATCTCTTCTGAGCAACTGGTAGAAAAGGTAGGTAGAAAAGATTAAGGTAATGTAGGGAGTAGAAAATGAAATAGCGTTAACAGGGAAAGGGGTTGAAATACTGAACAGAGCACTCCCTACTCTGTATTATGTCATAGACTCCCTTTGTATCAATGTATCAAGCTTGAGTGACCACAATGTTTTTATTTATCTTTGGAAAAAACGTATTTGGGCATTTTTTTTTTTAATACAATGTATTTTGTTCACATCATGGATCTCCCTCCATCCCTCCATCAAGACACCATACAACTCCCAAATAAACTTCTAATACATGCTTACTGTAGCTGTCCCATATCCTTTTTTTAAAAAAAAAAAAAAGTTTATATTTGAAAGATATACCTAAGCAAATCGGAATAGGATAATTCCATCTTCTCACTGGTCCAGGCATGCAGGTGATATGTGAATGTCCCTATAAAATGACAAAACATTTTAAAATTATCCAAGTAACAGTTCTGTGCTACCCTTTATTATGCACAACAAAAAATGGCATCATAATTTGCATCCTGAGATGTAAACCTGGGAGCCAAACTGTCTGGCGAGGTCTCATCAGTAGGACCAATTATGGTCTGGTTTGGCTGGAGCAGCATTAGCAAGTCATTGGCATAAAAACCTCCATTGGATGCCTCGTATGCTTCCAAATTCTGGCCCTGCTAGCTAGGGAGCTCATTGCATAGACAATGCTGCTTTACTGAACTTTAACATATATGCCAAACGGCAAAGAACAAAGGCCAACGAAGGTGTAGAATTGATGGAATATGGCAAGTGTGGCATAGTCCATGGAGTACAACGGGTAATGTTTTCTTATCTATCATATGGACAACTGATTGGATGTTCTTCTCTGAATCATGTAAAATATGATTTTCACATTCCTAACTACATTTTCACTTAGGGATCTGGAAACAACAATCATCATTAAAACAAATCAAAACCATACACAAACAGACATAGAACTAGTGATGATTTAAAAGCTCTAACAAGTAATGTCAGAAGCTCCTACAATAATGTTTTGGTGAACATGTTGAATATGCTGATGCCTTTAACTTTGTGAGAAAGAGAAATGGTTTGAAATAGATGATAGATAGATAGATGATAGATAGATAGATAGATAGATAGATAGATAGATAGATAGATATAAAAATAGATAGATAGATAGATAGATAGATAGATAGATAGACAGATAGACCGACAGACCAACAGACAGACATGGAAAAAAGAATATAGAAAAAATCAATAAATATAAACATACATTTGTTTAGTAGATCCCTAATTTCTCTTCTTCCTGCACCTATAATCATTGTAGTCCTCCATGTTTCCCCCCCTAAAATGCTACTGATATTTTCAAAGATTCATGACATTGCCACAAATGGGTGTTCCTTAAAACAACTGTGTCTATCAGTAAGGAACCCCTCACATGTCTTGGATCTAACACCATATTTTGAAGGAGCTATAGTAACTCCAGAAAACTCAATCTTTATCAATTTGTACATTTTTCCTTTCAAATAAAGGTTTTATTTTTAGATAGATTACAGAAACAATAACATCTTATAATACATCTGAATTTGAAGGAAAAAAAATCTACCTGGAGAGAATATCCCTGGTCACACTGGAAGGAAACGACATCTCCCACCATGTATCTATCTCCAATCTTAATTCCACTATTTGGGATCTGAGGTTCAGGGCAGGAGTCCAAACCTATAGCTGTGGAAAGTTAAAAAACTTAACAATGACAAAACAAATTTATCCTTTGTTATGCAGATTCTGACCTAAAAGCAGAACATTAACAAAATTCCCATACTGAGGGAGATTTGAATCAGTAACACAATAATAAAAAAATATTGAAAACTGTCTACCTTCTAGAAACTTCATGAGTCTTAAAAGTTTGACAGACCATTCTCAGAGTTAACAGAATACAAGCATATTGGATTCCTGTCACTTTCGGAGACTTTCAAAATCCATCAACAAAAGCCAAGTGCATGATACTGCCTTGGAAAAGGAAAAAGGGCTAAATGTAGAGCAATGGACAAAGAAGAAGACTAATTACCATCTGTACCTAAGTAGAGTTGAAATATGAATCTTTAAATATTTTTTACAAATTAGGAGTTTCAACAAAAACTTGAGACTCCTTGAGAAAAAGCAGAATTATGATCTTCTAACAGAACAGTATGAAAATAAAGTGCAGGTAGTCCTTGACTTACAGCCCTTTGTATAACAACAGTATAAAGTGACAACATCTTGAAAAAAAGTGATTTATGACCTGCTCCCACTCCCACTTACGACCATTGTTATCACCCCCATGATCACAATTCAGGCACTTGTATTTCAACTGTACCTCCTAGAAAGTGCCTCTAGAAGGGACAGTTGGCCAAAGGTTGTTCACAGGATAAAAGGAAGGATAAATAAAACATCCTGGATTTTAAAAATGTGTTTCAAAAATCCATATATTACATGGCAAACCTTTCACTGAGCTATATAAACTATTATTATATACTCCTGTTCAAAGTCCTTTGCACGTAAGCTGAACAATACAAACATTTAAAATACAGTAAGCAAGGATGGAACATCAAGTATTAAATATGAAGCAGAACAAAATAAAGCTTTTCTAAACTCAGAGTCAAATAAAACTCAGCAGCCAACAAGTAGCAGCAGAAGCTGAAAGCTTTTCAAAATAAATAGGTTTTACAACCTTTCCAAAAGGCTGGAAGAGAAAAACAGTTTCCCATGTCAACAGAAAGCTGGATTCAAAGCTTTGGAGCAACTGTAGTCAAAGTCTGATACTTGGCTGTTGACAGCTCGTCTCATATGAAGCTGAAAGAGATCTAAATGTTTTGCCATAACTGGGACTGAGGCTTAAACGGAAAGCTGGTCTCTTGAGGACCTCAATCTAAGACCACAATTAATGTCAGAAACAAAAGAGGAGCACTCTGAGACGCAGAGATAGCTTATGTGTTGACATTCATTCTAAGCACGGATATTCTTGCCTTTAAAGAGCCATCAAAAAATAAGTCAGTCCAATCATTAGGACCAGGAAAGGCATTTGTTCATCTTTCCAACACAGAAAGATGGATGGGCTTGTCCAGTTGGGAATAAGCTCCATATGTCATACAATCTTTTTTTTCTCTAATCAGTGATATTAATTATATTGTTCAAGTATAGCATCAAATTTGTTTTTCAGACTGATGTTGACGATTCATATATAATTCATTGTTTAATAAACAGAGAGTGTGTATGCACGGTAAAGAATCCAGTTAATCTTGTTAGATTAATTTGTTAACTGTATAAATGTTTCTACACACACACACACACACACACACACACACACACAGAGTAAATGGAGGAAAGAAAAAATATGTTTGTTGTTTTATAGTTGTCCCCCTTCTCTCAAACCTATAGAACAAGATAACGGATTATTAGAATTAATTCTGGGGGAAAAATGGATCATTTGAGTATAAATTAATGTAATTAATGAGCCATTAAATAAAGTAAAATAAAAATGGTTGGCCACAAAAAACAGTCACATATTTTAGGGAACGAAGCAATGATTATCATCATTATATGTATCCCATTATCATTCAGCTTCCTGTTTAATTGTCTAAAGTTTCAGGTAGATCAGGGGTATCAATCTCAAAGCCCACGGGCTGGATGTGGTTTGTGAGGTGTTTAAATTTGGCTCACAAGGCTGGCCTGGAAATAGAAAAGAGGCACCAGCCCTTGGTGCATCTGGCAGCCAAAATGGGGCATGGGGAGCTGCGTGCAGCTCCTCTGCACCCCATTTTGGCTGGCACAGTGCTGCAGGAGGCTGTCCAGGCTGAAAACAGAGTGCAGGGCACACACCCCATTTTGGCCAGCAGGGTGCTTCAGAAGGCATCCATCCTGGCTTCCCCCAATTCTCCGGCCAGCCCGCGGAGAATTACAATGGTGATCCAGCCCTATAAGACATCCAGTTTGATGCCTCTGAGGTAGATTCTAGCCTATGAAATTAATGGATAATTTTATAAAATGATTTCCCTACATTACCATAATACAGGTAGCCATCAACTTACAACCATTCATTTAGTGACCATTTGAAGTTACAAGGGCACTAAAAAAAAGTGACATGACTGTTTTTCATACTTATGACCGTTGGAGCATCCATACTGTAGTCTAAGTTGAGGACTACCTGTAGTTATCATTTATCTGCAATGGAGGATATGAAAATGAGAGATAAAGAAAATAAAAGATAAGTAGGTCTAACCACTATCATAATTATTCATCAAATCTGGGAGCATATAAATTGAGCAGTTGACAAAATCAGAAATGAGGAGGTGATAAGCCACCTGGGAAAGCAAATCATCAAAACCATTAAAAAGCAAAATTTAGAATACTTTGGACGTGGTGCGACACCCGGAAAAATATGTCATATTTCACTTAATCCTCTAGGGAAAGATTGAAGGCAAATGAGGTGCAGGCAGAAGAAGAACATCATGGCTTCAAAATCTAAAGGACTGGTTAACTTAGCATCACTTTTGTGTGTGTGTGTTGAAAAAAACAGGATCGCAAACATGATCGCCAATGTCCGGATATGGCACAAGAAGAAAAAGATAAATTGAGCAATTTTACTAAGTTTTATCAGGAAAGACATTCATTCCTTGTTTAACTTTTCAAAAAACAACAACACCTATTTCTTGGTTCTAATAGCTCTGCTACTGAAAATCCTATTGTTCTATTGAGATCTTTTGCCTGGGGATTTAAATAAAGTGTCTGAAGACAAAGAAACTGCTTAAAAATGTTTGTCAGATGAAATACAGGACGCCATTACAAATAATGGTAAAGCTATCCATCACTAATGGTAAAGCTATCTTCACCAAAAAAATGGAAATAAGAAGGGGAGACATGAACAAAAGAACTAAGAAGAGAAAGAAAAATGGAGTGGGTCACAAAAAATATAGAGAGGTCTATTATGGGTCATGAGTCTGCCCCATCTCTTATATAAAGAGTTGAATAATTCCCAAACACGTACAAACCATCTTCCTCCCCCCTAACATACAGAGCAAACTTTATCTAGTGTGACTTTTTGGAGACCGAGATAAGAGTTTTGAATCCCATTCTTTCACTTGACACTAGAAATTATGTTATCTATATCCTCTTCTTTTCATTTCACTTTCATCAACTGTGTGCAGTTTTGACAAAGAGATGAAGTGTGCAGAAATTATGAATTGTGGCTCGTCTACTTCCTAATATTGCCAGTTATTCCATGTCACTTAAATCATTGTTGAGTAAGTGAGTAGTTAACAGAGCTAGACAACTGCAAGATATATTCCGTACAAAATGACTGAATCAAATATTGAGATCTATATATAATTGTGACAACTTCCTGATATTTCAAAGTACCATTCCAGCTTTCAAACAACCAATTACTTGAACATTAAAAAAAAAAAAAAGCCAGCAAGGCAGTAAAATGTAAAATAAAAGAATAGGATTGCATGTCAATGGAGGAAGATGATTTGATAATACACCTTTTTCAGAATTCCTACTTTTAAAAAAACTAAGAATTAAGAATATCTAGTTATATTACAAAATGGAACTGTGATTGAAGATTTTGGGGATTTTCATAGATCAGACAAATGGCTACAAAATGGAAGATGATGTGTCTGATTTTGTTTATACCTATCAGATACTCAGGCTCTTCGATGTATATGGAACAATGAGAAAATAGCAATAGCAATAGCACTTAGACTTATATACCGTGTCATAGAGACAGCCCTCTCTAAGCGGTTTAGAGAGTCAGCATATTGCTCCCAACAATCTGGGTCCTCATTTTACCCACCTCGGAAGGATGGAAGGCTGAGTCAACCTGGAGCCAGTGAGATTTGAACTGCTGAACTGCAGCTAGCAGTCCTCTGAAGTAGCCTGCAGTACTGCACTCTAACCACTGCGCCATCTCGGCTCTATAACATGCATTCTTGAGAAAAAGCCTTTTGCATTTACTCAGGCTTCTTCAGATAAATGATGATTGTTTTTATTATAGAGGGAAGGACTCAGATTTGGTTTCAAACATGCAAGTGACACTATAGGAACCAAGCAAGAATTGATTAAGCTTATATTTGATGTTACAATTGAATGCTAGGAATGGATTCTGTAACAAAGTTATATTTTGACAAATAAACATTTAATGATAAGTAAGAAGCACATAAAAGATCTGAGATATGAAAAATAAATCTTAAGTGATTTATTGCTGTCCTGAATTTTCTTTGTTTCCCCTGCTTGGTGTCTTAGTCATTGTCCTCTCCCCAACAAGATTCAATAGTACAAAATATAAACCATGAGTCAGACAAATTTAACTAACCTCATGGATAACAAGTTGACTCATGGTCTCAGATGTAATTTAAGCCTTGCGTAAGATCTGGAACAATTTGCCTAAAAATATGTCACCTTGGTCATTCAAAATTGGCAGCCTTTCCCCCCCTACTTCAAAGGATCAATAGAGACAAGTTAAGACAAATTCCCTTTTTATCCCAGAATGATTCATTTTTTCCTGTCTGTTGCTGAAAGTGCTTGATGTTCCACATATATTTTTAATACTTACCTGTTTATTTTCCATTCCCCCACCCTTTCATTTTTGAATACTTCATTCAGATATTCTGAATGGTCAATCCTAATGAATACAGACTCAGGGATTCTTTGTAGGGAATAGGATCATTGTGGTGAAATATTTATTTTTTGTTATTCCCTTTCTTTCATGAATTTAATGGTTTATATGTACAAAACAATACGTACATAATTAAAGCCAGAATAATTGTATCAAAATTCACTACCTCATGAAATTATCATTCCCACTCTTTCAATAGAACCAACATTTAATTTCTTGAAGTGTAAATGTCTACATTTTCAAAGTCATTCAGGTCTATCTAATGGCAATATATATTGCAATTACATTACCTGTGTACTCTAAATGAAAGCCAGCAGCCGACACACTAATATCTGACTGAAAATTTAAGTACAAATTGTTGGATGTACTATTAAGAAGTGGAGGTATTGTGGTTCCTGGGGAGGAAAAAAGAAGTTTCCAGGTTATTAATTTGTAATTAATTCTGCTATTTCTTTCCACATTTCACAGTTTTACCTATAAATATAAGCAACGTCTCAGTTTACCATTTATATCCATTTCAAAAGAGTGCTTTTAATAGACAGTTTTTGTTCAGTTATAAAGTAACCATAGGATCCAGTCAATCACCTTGGTTCTTAGTGACTGAGATTGGAAAGATTTCATTTCTTTTCAAGTTAAGCAAGGTTTAGAAAGCAACTTTGAAGTAGTAAATTAAAGAACTGAAAAGTATGAAGGCAAAAAGTGAAATTAAAGTACATCTAGTTTATATGAACACCAGTCACAATTCCTCTCCATATCATTATATCTTTCAAACTGTAATAGCTTCCACCGCACCGATGAGGATCTTATCAAGTCCATCTATCTATGTCTTTTTCAGTCTTCCCATCCTCTTGATACATTTACAGGTAGTCCTTGATTTACAACAGTTCATTTAGTGACTGTTCAAAGTTACAAAGGCACTGAAAAATGTGACTTATGACCGTTTTTCAGAGTTGTGAGCTTTGTAGCAACCCCATGATCATGTGATCAAAATTCAGATGCTTGGCAACTGGTTCATATTTATGACCGTTGCTGTCTCTCCAGGTCATATGATCACCTTTTGTGACCTTCTGACAAGAAAAGTCAATGGAGAAACCAGATTCATTTAACAACTAACTTATCATGTAATTCACTTAACAACTGTGGCAGGAAATGTCGTAAAATGGGGCAAAACTCACTTAATAAATGTCTCACTTAACAACAGAAATTTTGGTCTCCCCTGTGATCGTAAATTGAAGACTACCTGTACTATTTTTTTCCTATGATTATTTGGCAATTCAATCCTTTGTAATGCAATCCTCATTCATTCTCTAACTGTGATCAAATCCTCAACTTGTTTCTTCCATATTGGCAATTTTATAAGCAACCTATTTTCATGTACATATGTATGTATGCATATGTGGAGTGGTGTGGTGGCTTAGAGGTAGAGCTCTCGCCTCACAATCAGGAGGTTGTGAGTTCGATCCTAGGTGGCGGCAGATATTTCTCTCCCTGGGCACAATGAGAATAAATCTGTTGAACAAAACTCCACATTGGCAACAGGAATGACCACATTGGCCGTTAAACGCTCTGCTAGCTCCATTCAGTTGCCCAGACTCTACCCCGTAAGGGATTATGGGGTCCTTAAAAGATGATGATGATATACGTATGTATGTATGTATGTATATATATATATATATATATATATATATATATATATATGTATGTATGTATGTATGTATGTATTTTTCACATTTCACAATTTTTCCCAATGTTTGGCAACCATTCATTTTCATCCACCCTCCTTGTTTATCACACATAGTTCTTAAATGCCTTGTTCCAATTACACTCAATGTACTTCCACACAAAGGAGAAAGAAGCAGGCTCTTAACCATTTCAGTTCTTTCTATATGTATGCCTCACAACAGATACCTATTACTTACTATCTCTCTACTATTGCTAGTAATAGTTGGATCCTTGCTGTACACTTTAATTATGCCAAATTCATGAAAACACAAACCCAATTTGCACTGCATGCACAAATTAATTAATACACACACTCACAAACAAATCAAATTTGCACTCTGGAGCTGATCAATACTTTACACCTACAATTATAATATATAGCACCACGAGAAAGGTTAATTCGAGAAATTAATGTTTAAAATAAAAGTGACAATAAGTTCTGATAAGGTCCGCAGTTTTGCTATTTGTTCTAGCTCTCTGCGTGGTCCTTGTAGCTTGAGTTAGCTACAATTTCAATTGTTCCTTGCAGCATTTTTCTGTAGTGTTAACAGAAAAATCAAATGGTACTGTATATGGCTTCCAGGCATAACTGCTGCTACCAACTGTGGTCATCATAAATAGGTAGAGAAGTGGGTAGATGGACCAGTAAGTTTGGGATCTCTCCAGGCAATTTATTATTGTCCTCTAAATTGAGAATCCATTGTTATTGGTGAATACTTTGGTTGGCAATACTGAAATGTCTGGCACCAGTATTCCCTAACAGTAAAAAAAGATAGTTAAAAGTAAAACAATTCAGAAGGAAGTGATGTGATGACAAACATTTTTGCAGTGAAGGTTGAAAGCTGAACAAAACAATGATTCCATAAGGTGAAAGGGCCTTGGAGTATCAAAAATGTTCAATTTATAAGCACCTAAAAACTTTTGGAAAACATAGATACCACATTTTTTAAAAAAAAAATTGGCATAGCACAGAGGTGTTTAAACTAGCTGAAGAAGTTGATAGCTTCAGCTGTTCGTAAGATCTATGGAAAAGTCACGGCCGATCTAGCATGCAAATTACTATTATTCTATTTTTCTTTTCTTTTCTTCTTCCACCTACATACAGAGTAAATAATGATGCTTAGGAGAAAAACAGGAAGAATCAAAAGCGGAGGAACTGCAAGGTCACGACTTAATTTGAAGAGAAAGCGAAAGAACAGTGGGATGATTAAATGACTCAAAGTTATATAAAAGCTTTGTGTTAAAAAAGTTGTTTGGTACCATATTTATTAAACCTTGGCATTTTTATAATAACATTCAACTTCCATTCAGCTTATATATCACAGCATCCTTAAGATCCACTTTTTAAAAAAAGAAATCATTACTAATATAATTTAAATTTCCTTGCATTCAAAATATATTACATGAACGTCAGTCAGTGTTGTGTTCATTTCCTGTAATATAGAGATTCTGTTGTGGCAGAATAAAATCAGTTTCAGTACTGTCAAAAATTTATGGTGGTACTAGATAATGAAGGTACCATGAATCAGTGGTCTGACATGTTCTGTAAAATGGTGCATTTCAACATCTTCATATATTACACAAATGTGATATAAGATATTTTATACTTGGCATTCATTCCTAGCACACAAGCTGATGTTTTGCCACAAAATAGAATGTCAGACAAGAAGTTATTATTTTCATTCACCTGAGTAGCTTCCAAGTCTCGGAGCATTGTTATCAGCACCATCATAAAAATCTAAAGAGTCCCAGTTATGCTCTGTTGCAAAACTTATCACTTGTACCTATTAAGGACAGAGACATAGGGCAAAATTACAAGACAATATGGAATTGTTCTACTTCATATTATATTGTCAGAAATGATTGAGTAGTGGAGGGTTCGTTCAGGCTTATGTAGTTCGACTAAATATTGGATTTCAGCCAAATATATTTCTAAATATGACCTTATTCACAATAATGCTTGTAATCACTGAAACCTGCTTTTCTAATCCCCCTCCCACACACACTACTCAATGGCTGAAAACAGAGATGCTATAATTAGCTATGTATCAGTACACTGTATTTACTTCTCAGTTAGTGGGATCTGGGTAATAGCTTGTTTGGTTGCAAGTTAGACTCCACAATACAAGTGGTCTTTGATTAACAACTGATTGTGTTACAACAGTTCAAAGTTACAATGGTCACAGAATGGGTACTTCATGGCCCCTATAGCATTACCACTTCCAACAGTCATGTGATCATATGTCAGGTTCAAGCAGGGATTGGTCCACCCCAATCATACAGACAGAATGGGTATGCTCTGTACCCCATTGGTCAAGGAATTCTGGCTGGCAGTATCTAGGAGAAGACCCTATATGTCCGTGATGACAAACCTATGGCAAACCTATGGCACGCGTACCACAGGTAGCACACGGAGCCGTATCTGTGGGCACGCGAGTGTTGCCTTAGCTCAGCTGCAGTGTGATTTTCGAGACTTCTGGGCCCACTGGAAGTCGGGAAACAGGCTATTTCTGGCCTCTGGAGGGCCTCCGAGAGGGTGGGGAAGGCTGTTTTCACCCTCCCCAGGCTCCTAAAAGGCCTCTGGAGCCTGGGGAGGGTGAAAAACGGGCCTACTGTGCCCACTGTGCCATTGCATGCCAAAAGTGGGGGAAGCGTGCACACATGTGCGGGGGGCATTGAATTATGGGTGTGGGCACATGTGTGGCGACCTCCCCACGCTCCCCCCATTTTTGGCATGCGACAGCAAAAAGGTTAGCCATCTCTGCTATATGTCATGGCTTCCACCCTTCAGAACATCATGCCCCTTGAAGTGAGATCCACAACAACCTTCTTGGCTTTCTGCAGGGGCCTAAAAACTGGGTATGCTGATTGTTCTGGGGTCTCAATGGGGGTATTCAAAACTGGAGGTGGTTAGTGGATGAAAAAAGGAAACTCCATCTCTACCCTGTTCTATATTGATTTCTTCCTTAGCTATCTTTATTGATTTTAATGTTACTATTTAATGTTTCAATGTTTTGTGTTGTCATTTTAATCTTATTGTAAACCAACTAAAGTCTATTTCAAATATTGCCTCCAGTTCTGGATATCATACTTTTAGAAGTGTTCAGAGAAGTGGGAACAAGTTCTTTAAAGATAGGAAGATTAATCAGAGTTAGAAATTAAATCATCTGAGAAGGAGGGATTGGTTATGCTTAGCCATGAGGAGGTAAATTTAAGATGGACTATGGCAATGTTCTTCAAATATCTGAAAAATGAACTCACACAAGAAAGTCAAGGGTTGCTTTCTATCATTTCAGGATCAATGGGCTTAAGTTACAGAGAGTCAGATTCTGAATAAATTTTAGAAAAATCTTCCTAACATCAGAAGAATTATGAAGATAATGATGGATTCCCATTCAATAGGAATCAAGGAGAATCTCGAGATTCATCATCTATCAAAGTTTCTTCATTCTGGTAGACAGAACTTCCCTTCTCTACATTCCAGTAGAGAGAAGTTCCCTGAGGATGGATTCCAGCACAAGTCTGAAAGCTCAGAAGACTAAATCTGACCTAGACTGACTTAGATTGGATCCTGCAAAGTTACTTCCATTTGTATTTCTTCATAAGGCAGAGGGGTGGACTAATATTCCCTCTTGATTTTATAATTTTATTATTCATACGTTTTGAAACGTAGAATAATTAAATATTCTATAAACCAATGATCAACCAAAATACTAAATACAGTTATAGAGGAGAATGTTCCTCATCATTGTTATTGCATTTCCTTTACTTCCATCATCAAGTATAAGACACATGAAGTAGGAGATGACCAGGCTGAACTGAGAGAGGAATCAAATGTATCATTTTGTAGAAAGCGTAAGCTTGAAATAAATCTTTATACTCATTTGAACTGCCTGAATCTCCTGATTTCCCCAGCGCTTGACACATATGAAAGTTCAGTCTGGCCATTACTGTGTTCACATACCAATGCTCTTAAACTAAGGATGCCTGATACAATTTGAATTTTAATAGAATTTGTTGATAATTAGATAAATGGCTTAAAATATTGCAGATACCACATTGTTTTCACATTGTCAGTTAATTAACTTCTCAAAACCAAAATTAAATATGGTTCAACAGTCTTTGCATGACTGTGATAAAAAAATACTCCCTTTATCCCTTTTTTAGTTGTTATCATAAGTGCAGTTAAGGTAAGGTTATAAATCTCTAATGCTGTTTGAACTCTTGGATGAAAAAAGAAATTATAGCAAACCAGCTAATTCTTACTATGAGAGAATTCTGAACATGTGTGTGTATGTAATTGCTAATGCCTCAGATTTCTAGTTTCCTAGAGAATCCATTGTATAATCAAATGAGAAAAAATAACCAGCTGCCTTAAAGCAATATTTACAAAGAGTCCATGTGACACAGGACCGTATGCTCTGACTACTAGTCATTCTGCACTAATGACTTTTCCAACAAAGTGATTTAATGAGTGATTCATGTCACTCATTAAAGAGCTGCACATTTATTTATTTATTTATTTATTTATTTATTTATTTATTTATTTATTTAGTCGCATTTCTGTGCTGCCCAACTCTGCGGCTTACAACAAAGCATAAAACAATGCGAACAATCCCATAAAAAATGTTAAAAAGAAAAACATTAAAACATTAAAAACTTTAAAAATGTTAAAACACATGCACTCCAATTGATTAACTGCTATAAATTAAGATCATTATTTATCTTCCCTATTTATTCAATATTAGCACATTTCATACACTTTCTCATAACCATATTCCAAAGCTGTATCATATAGCATGTATTTATGTAGGTATGCATGCTTTGAAGACGTGCAGAGATTTGGATTTGATGGGCAAACTCCAAGTGAGGAATATATGTTGATGTGTATGTAGCACCTAAATCAGCGAGGTTTCTTTCTATGTAATCACAGTTGCCCTCTGCAGCTGACACACAAACACACACATACATATACATATATGCATGTATGTCTATCTCATAGGCATTGCAAATGTCTCTGGGGCACAAAGATTATAAACTTGACATTCTCTTATCTGGCTTAAGTCGTTACCATAATATCTATACAAACAAGAGTTAAATTTTGTGCCTATATCATAGATGGAGAACTTTGGCATGTCATATTTTCCATAAGCTCTCTACAAATCACTTTCTTATCCATTAAGCATACATATTACTCATAATAGAATAGGGAGATAGATAGAGATATTCTATCAAAAGGAATTAAATATCATTTTCCTGATAATGGAAAAAAAAATCAAAATAATTCAGAAGCAAAAGGATTAAATCGGGATTGAAAAATTGGAAGGAACTGCAAAAATATTCACAAGTGGAAAAAAGAACACAAAATAATATCTTTGTTTATGAGTTAAACAAAAGTAGACCTACTTAATTTTTAAATCTCTTAATGGAAAATGCTGTTAACATTTGCACAGATTAAAAGCATCTGTATTTTTACCTGAATCCCAGCTCCCTCTGGCACTGTGATCTTCCACACACAATTCAGATTGTTGTCATATGGCTCAGGGTATCCCGGAGACAAAATTGTTCCTTTACGTTTAGTTAAAATACCTCCACAGGGCACTGGAAGCAGATACATTAACTATGGAAATGGTTCATGTATCAAAACAGAGATGCAATGTAATAAAAGCTTACATGACTACAAGCTTTAACAATCTGAGCAGTTTTACAATACAATTCTAAAATTCAAGACAGACCTGAGGAAAGAAATAGGAAGCAAATAAACTACTGAAGAAATAAAGCATTGACACAACAGACTCTCAGTTTCAAATATTGGAAACATATCAAATTGCTTCAAAAGCTGGATGTACTGTTGTAATTATTTATAGATAAATTACTTCATTATGCAGTTGTTATAGCTGAACAACTAGGCAAAAAAAATGATAATTGAAAATTTGACCTAATATGATGATGCTTGGATGTACTTATAATTTCTCCTATTTTTAAAAAATACACCTATTCTTTTAAAAAAATAAAATTCAGGAGCAACTTTGAGAGCTTCTGGAGAGGATATCAAAGGAATGGGAGGTCTCTGTAGACAACCAGCCCATTCATATGTCTCATGCATAACCCACAGTGTCAGAGCTACACAGAATTTGTAGAGAACCACAGAAATTATTTTGGAAAAGGAAAGTGGCAGTTAGCAAAATGTGATTTAAGCCCAAGGAAAAAAGAGGTTAGGAAGACTCCACCTCCAGACTTAACTCTTTTTGTCAGAAGAGGGAGGACTGGGAAATGCTGTTAGGCTTTTTAAGGGTGTAGGCCAGGTAAGGAAACATATTGCCCTGAAATATTGGGGCTATTGATAGAGATCAAAGGAATAATGAAATCTTGCCCACATAGATGTTTCCAAAATACATTCATTGCAACTGTCACATTCATTTTTCAAGGTCCTCTCTGTAGTTCTCTATGACTCCATGTAGTCCTGAGACTTGAGGTTATGTTCCTTGGCACAGAAGATGTATAAAACATCTGAATGAGCAGCCAAGTAGGAAAGCTGGACCATAAACCTTAGTCAGCAAAGAGTGAAGTTATTAAGATCTAGTTCTGTTACCATAAATATTTATTTGGGTTATCTAGGCTGGGGAATTCTTGCTCTGGAGATAATATTGGGGAAGATCTTCCATTGCATCCTGAATTCCCTGCAAAAATGAAATGTGCAATAATACATAATAATTGAATGGGAATTGAGAGTGAGATCCTAGTGAATCCTTGAAAACTTTAAGAACAATCACCCAGAAATTGAACTTGGGAACACATAGTGTGTTCTGTAGTTCATGCTATAAATGTGATGCTGAAGAACTGCTGTGTGATATTTAGGGCTTGAATTACATAACTCTGAGGCCTTTAAATTTTATCAGTGATATTAATACAGCTAAATTACCCTTTGGACTTTTTCAAAACAATAATATCCATATATATTCCTTGCATACAACATAAATATGATTTGCATCCAGCACAGATATCTATCCCAGTGACAGTAATATTAGACCTAAATAGAAAGAATGCAGTTGGGTTTTGCATTGATATTTAATGCTAAATATGAATGATACTTTTGGTCAAGCCACTAGACATTCTAATATAATCACATTAGGCTGTCATCTAAATACGGACATTCTGCTAGAGTTTTAATAGCTTGAAGAAATGATTGATGAGAAGTTTTATCAGCACTATTAGTAGCCAATATATCATTCTGGCAGAAGAGCATTATTAAGTCCTGTGGCTCATTTCATTAGATACAAATATGAGAACTTGAAGAATATTTAGAAGAAGGAAACTTATCTGAGTAATGAATACAGGAGTTACATTTTGTAGTGCACATAACTGATAAAATCTGTCAAGGACTACATGAATAAACTAAAGGTCAGTGTCACTTAAACAGTTTAAATAATTACTGGTAAAAGCAAGAGCAGACACAATGACTGATAATTGATATCTGTAAGGAAACACTGAGGTATTTGCCAGCAAGCTGTGGCCATGCATAGCATTTCAATTACTAAATTCATTGTCTAACTGCATGCTGATGTTAGAAGAGCAGAGCACATATATGAATAGTATTTTGGGCTTGTACAACTACCACAATAAAGTAATTTTTAATATTTAATTCATTCTGTGAAGAAGCTTCTCTATAACAACAGTTACTCTGACTGTGGTAAACGTGGTAAAACAAGTAAAGGACACACATTAGACCTCTGCTCCATCAGTTGCATTGATTACCAGTTTGCTTCTACCAATTTAAGGGTTAGGGTTAGAGTCCTACATGGAATGGGGCCAGGTTATCTGAGAGACCACAATCTCTCTGATTATATCTATTTGTCCCAGCAGGTCCAGCAGGAAAATTAGGTGGTGAGTCTCATCTGCTAAGGAATTCCAATTGATAGGACTTAGAAGATGAGCCTAAACTTCCATGGCATCCACTCTTTGGAACATCATCCTTTCCAGTGGTGGGTTTCAAATGTTTTTACTACCGGTTCTGTGGATGTGGCTTGGTGGACGTGGCAGGGGATGGATACTGTAAAATCTCCATTCCCTCCCCAATCCAGGGGAAGATTACTGCAAAATCCCCATTTCCTCCTGATTAACTGAGACTTGGGAAGGAGAGAATAGATGGGGGCGGGGCCAGTCAGAAATTTTACTACCGGTTCTCCGAACTACTCAAAATTTCCGCTACCAGTTCTCCAGAACTGGTCAAAGAACTGGTCACCTGCTGAAACCCACCTCTGATCCTTTCTGAGATGAAGTTAGCCCCAATCTTTGTGATCTTCCAGAAATCACTTAAAACATATTTTTTTTCAACAGATCTGGGAATCTTCTGGCAACAGAGACCCCAGATGATGGCTACATCATGTGTAACATTTTAATGCATTCCCTTTAATGATCTGCAAACCTGCCTACACAGTAGCTTTAGACAAAATAGTGTCCCAGTGCAATCTATGAGCTATACCCCCTCCCCCAGTGATACATAACCATATCCCAGAAGATTAGACAAGAACCTCTATTCCTGAATCCTAGATCTACCAATTACTCAATAACAAGATGTTTGATCTAATCATCTTCCACTGCATCACTTAACTTGCAGTGCTTATGGAAAGCATAATCTTTGTGATTCCGATGAAACTGTCAACAAAGATGGATGAGTGTAGCTCCTAAAATATAGCCCAAATTCCTACTTAGGAGTAATTCAATAATTTCACCTCTCATACTGTTGCTGCTACAATGTCCTCATTTTTGGAGTCTGTCTTGGTTAGGGAAAAAAGGCCCACTGCCTTTTTGTCCAATATACTAAGCATTGGGACTAGACTAATATTTCTGAACCTTAGCAATTTTAAGATGCATGGACCTCGCGAACTCCCTGAATTCTACAGCAAGCATGCTGATTGGGGAATTCTGGGGCTTGAAGTCCACACATCTCCAAATCACCAAGATGAGAAACATAACACTAGACAATGATTTAAAAACAGGAATGAGCAAATTCTGGAGATATCATCTTTGAAGGAATATAATGATTAAATACATAATTATATACTGAGTCTGGAAACCTTTCAAATTAGCCAGTAGGATTTGTCTATATTAACGCAAGCATGTATTTTCAAAATCTAGGGAAAAAATTATTTTCACAATGTTCTAATCATACTTCAATAGTGTGCTTCTTAAAACTTTTTACTGAAACAGATTTGACATGTTTACTGTCATTATATTTTTGCTGTATGCCATGCAAAGTTACTTTTTCTGAAATGGGTGACCATATAAAATAAAATAAATAAGGTAGAGACAAATATATGTGCTGTTCCAACATGCCCCGCTCCCCAATATGTTACTGTTGTATTTTTTATTTATTTTTTACTAGTCTATTTTAATCAGTTGACCAGTTTTATTGGTTTATTTTAGTCAGTTTAATCAGTTGAGCTGCTGTGTATTCTGCTTAGGTTCAAGTGCAATTGAAGAAGCATATAAATAAATAAGCAAAATAAATAAACAAACAAACAAAATGCAGATATGTGGCTGTTCATGGATGAAACAGGTTCTTCACCAACCTGAAGAACATGCTGGTTCCTTTCAATTTTGAGGGGTGTGCCTTTCCTCTTAGTTATGGCAAAAGCAGGAGAGCATGATGTTACAATGCTATAGGGTTTATAATAGGTTCAAATGAACAGGTCATTTTATCTTGAAGTATATAGATAGTAGAATAAATCCTACGTTTCATACTGTAAAAAATAATAGACCCTGTAAATAATTGAATTTTGGCTACTTACCAACACATGTAGGAAGGGTATCGTTCCACTGTGCCAATGCATTGGGCACCGTGTCACATCTAATTGCTATTGACCCATAGAGTATGTAGCCTGGATTACACTCAAAAAGAACCAACGAACCAACTGCAAATTCATTTCCAATCCTTTTTCCAAATCGTGGTTCAGGCACTGAACTGCACTGCGTTGAACTTGTTCTTGGAACCGCTAGAAACACATTAGAGATAATGCATACTGCTTCGTGGCAGAAAATGAGATAATTCCTAAATTTCAAATAAGAGGCTCAAATGTCTAGAAATGCAACAAAAACTTCCATTCCCATTATATAACAGAACAATCGTATCAAGCTTTTCGCAAAATAATATGAAATGTACTGCTTCATTGAATTAATATACAAAGCGAAATTCTTATTTCTGTGACGGGTAGATATTTAAATTGATTAGCTACATTTTTATGAATGCCTGCTCTGGTTGTCATATTAATATTCAGATTTATAAAGGCTAAATTATAGCAGCAAATGTTGACATGCAATTATTTTTAAAGTGTCTGATCCATTTACAAAAAGAGAAACAATGGAAAGCTGTACTCTTATATACACTGGATTACCCCTACTTTTTTCTTCATGGATAAGATTGCCTTGTAAATTCAAAGAACATGTTTTAATATTTAATAATAAAATTAGTTCTACTGCTCAATATACTATCACTGTCTATATTCAGATATAGAAATATGTACCTGAGCAAAAGGTTAGATTGAATAGATAAGATTATAACTGAAATAGCAAAAAGGTCTTGTCATCACTATTCCCCTTTAGATTTCAACCCTTTTTAAATTATGAAAGCATTGCAGAAAAATGCAAAAAAAGGGGAAGGGAAGGGAGGGAGGGAGGGAGGAGAAAGGAAGGGAGGGAGAGAGAAAGGAAAGGAAAGGAAGGGAAGGGAAGGGAAAGGAAGGAAGGAAGGAAGGAAGGAAAGAAGGAAGGAAGGAAGAAAGAAAGAAAGGGAAGGGAAGGGAAGAGAGGGGAGGGATGGAGGGAGGAAGGGAGGGAGGAAGGAGAGAGAGAGAAAGTAACTTTTTTTTTGTAGCATTCCTATTAACTTGGCAGATTTTCTGGTTAAACTCAAAAAGACTTTAGGTTAAACTTTGAGGTTCAGGTTAAACGCATAAAAACTTTGGAATAGATCTATGGGCTACTGCTTAAATATCTGCTGCAACATTCAATATAGTTTATTCTGTTTAGGACTCAGTGCATTCCCGCAGTGACCTTTAGATTTTCTATCATTTATATATTGCTATATCTTCTTCAGAATGTTAATAATGAAAACATTCAAAATAATCAGACATAGTAATATAACAATAATAAGGTATTTTTTTTTAAAAAAAACACCCCTGAAAGGTCAATAAAAGGTAGGAAATTAGCAAATCAAATTAATTGAAACATATTAGAGCATGGGTGTCAAACTCGCACTATCACGTTGCCATCATGTGACGTTTCATGACATTTTTTTCCCCTTTGGGGAGCTGGGGTGGGTGTGGCCTGCGCATGACGCATCCGGCCCAAGGGCCGCCAGCTTGTGTTAGAGGCATTTATGTCTCATACCTTGATAAACGAAGTGAAATCCTTTGGCTGTAACAGGTCCGACTGAAGTAAATCGTACAGTTATCTGGTTTCTTGAGCTCAGTGGAAGGGATTCTCCTACTCAAGAAAAAAAAACACTGCACCTCAGAAACAATTTTCTGTCAAGAATCCTACAATATCATTTGCTGAATATTTCAAAGATTCTTATCCTCCTGTAAGTATCTTATATAAAATGAAGGGCTTTTTTCTCCCCCAGTAACAGTCTATAAAAATTAATGGCCTTTGCTTATTATTTAATTGTCTACTATACTGTTTCAAAGCAAACAATTAAAGAGAGTGAAACGGGGAACTAGTAGCTACATGAAAATGCTGTTCATGAATCATGTTTTGTTTGGGATTTTACATTTATTTCTTGATCTGTAAGATCTATCAGTAGTAATGGGACAGACTATTTAGTAAGAATGGATATAACTTTATATTTTAAAGAAAAGGGTTCAAAAGAAACAATCTTTTGGGATTTGATTTAATGTTATTTTAATTTAAATTAGTGTTTTTCAATCTCAGTAACTTCATGATGTATGGACTTCATCTCCCAGAATTCCTCAGCCTGCACATTTACTGAGAAATGATGGAAACAGAAGTTCATATGTTTCAAAATTGCTGAGGCTGAGAAACATTGGACAACATTACTACTATCTCTATAGACGTTAATTTTGCAGAAGCCTGTAAATTCCAAATTTGAAGAAGCAGAATCTATACCAACTATATGAAATGAAGCTACCTCTAACTATGACAATTCTTTCAAAAAAAGGAAATAACCAATATTTCTTATTTTAAAAATCTTCCTAAGATTTATTATTAAAATTAAGAACCAGCGGAAAAGGATCAATATCCATGTAAACAATGGAAAGTGTTTTTTCTCTTATGGTGATTCCAAGGACAATGTTCTAAAATTTTATATTTCTTTAGAACTTTGTTTAAATTGATTTCCTAGGAGTGAGTTTCACTAAAAATAAACTTATGCTATTTAGTTACAATGATATATTGCAACTGCCTATTTTGGGGTTTGACCCCTAACAACTTCAAGAAAATGTTCAGAAGAAGCATAATTCCTTTTTAATATATTCTAAATAATCATCCCCTAATATTTCTGCATTATATTGTGGAGTACATCAACAGTACAAGGTCTACTTATATTATTTCAAGAGACAATTTGATATCAACTGTTCATAACAAAATATGAACCCTATAATCTGTCTCAGCAGAACTCTTCATACAGTCTCACTAATCTGTCCATAAAATTCATATTCATTTATGGCAGAGATTGTTTTGTGAGAAAAGATAATTCTGTAAAAATACTTCATGAAAAATAATCCAATCTTACCTATATTAAATATTTCTAGATCTCACTGAAATGATGGAAGAATTAAATTCTTCAAGAATTTCAAAACTACTAAATGTTGCTTGGGTCATATCAAACACATAAATGTGAGTATCCTAAGGAATACATCAAAACTATGCATGCTAAATTTATATACAGAGTAACAATAAATAAATAATATGCTGCTCCAGATGAAATATGTGAAATACATTGAATTCATCAGTGATTATTACGGTGTTTTGAAATATGTTTGCATGAAACATTATCAAATAAATGCCAGTAACATTTTAGGGTAATTTCTATATCGGTCTCTCTGTGAATGAAAGGACTTTTCTATTTTATTTTATTTTTTAATTCCAGTGGAATAGCTCTGGGAGAAGGAATGTAAAGATGATTTTTCCCCAGAGGAGCGCTTCAAGTAATAGCAATAGCAATAACACATAGACTTATATGCTGCTTTACAGTACTATACAGCCCTCTCAAAGCAGTTTACAGAGACAGCCTATTGCCCCCAACAATCTGGGTCCTCATTTTACCCACCTCGGAAGGATGGAAGGCTGAGTCAACCTTGAGCCTAGTGAAATTTGAACTGCCAAATTGCAGTCAGCTGACAGTCAGCAGAAGTAGCCTGCAGTACTGCACTCTAACCACTGCATCACCACTGCTCAATAGAATATACTATAAGAGAATACATAGCAGATAACTCCACCCTGCTTCTTTCATGAAATATGAATGGCACTCTGAGAACAGCTATTAACTTTACCAAATATCAGTTTGCTTAGAGTTTTCACCAATAATGAGGGCAGATTGTGTCAGGCCAAAGCAACCAGATCCACACACAAAGAGTTCAAGCTTACTACTTGATTAAATTCTGCCTATAACACATGAGTTTCCCCAGACTGCTTTCCTTCGCTTGTGAAGAAAGAGATAAGGTACCATGGAGAATGTTATTTAGAATATATTAAATGATTGGGGGAGGGGTCAGTCCTAGTTCTCTTGTGGCTGCACAATGACTCAAGGCTAATTCCCCACTTCATCCCTCCTAGTTGCCTGGCTGATAGTTTCCCAACATCTTGGCACTGGCACAAAAGTGAAATTGATCTGGATTGTGAAATTTAAAATAGAATGAATGTGTAGTGGCAGGAAAGTCTTTTTTTATAACATTCAGATGAATTTCCATAATATATTTTCTTTGTGTAAATTGTTGTTAGTTGCGAAGTCATGTCTGACCCATCGCGACCCCATGGACAATGTTCCTCCAGGTCTTCCTGACCTTTACCATCCTCTGGAGTCCATTTAAGCTCCCGCCTACTGCTTCAGTGACTCCATCCAGCCACCTCGTTCTCTGTCGTCCCCTTCTTCTTTTCCCCTCAATCTTTCCTAGCATTAGACTCTTCTTCAGTGAGTCCTTCCTTCTCATTAAGTGGCCAAAGTATTTCAGTTTCATCTTCAGGATCTGACCTTCTAAGGAGCAGTCAGGGTTGATCTCCTCTAGGACTGACCGGTTTGATCGCCTTGCAGTCCAAGGGACTCGCAGGAGTCTTCTCCAGCACCATAGTTCAAAGGCCTCAATTCTTTGTCGCTCAGCCTTTCTTATGGTCCAACTTTCACAGCCATACATTGCAACTGGGAAAACCATAGCCTTGACTATACACACTTCTGTTGGCAGGTGATGTCTCTGCTTTTTAGTATGCTGTCTAGATTTGCCATAGCATAGGAGCAAGCATCTTTTAATTTCTTGGCTGCAGTCCCCATCTGCGGTGATCTTGGAGCCCAGGAAAATAAGATCTGTCACTATCTCCATTTCTTCCCCATCTATTTGCCAGGAATTGAGAGGACTGAATGCCATGAGCTACATATTTGTGTAAATAGTGGTGTCAATTCATGTCAACTATCTTTTAATTTAAATCTTTGTATGTCATAATCCTGTCATTAATATGCATGTAAATTATCATCACTGAGGTGTAAACTACATAAACTCTTTTCTGAATGTATAGCCTGTAGGCACAGCTCCAGATTCTTTTAATTAACTACAGCTTTGAGGATATTGCTAGTAGAAGATGAGATCGATGCTTGTTGAATTTATCTCAGGTTAGACGATGGAGGGAATACATTTATTTTCTTGCATGATGCAGTTCCAACAAGAACTGCATGTTATCTGTAATTAATTAAAAATAAGATGGAATTTGTCTCTGATTAATTATGTTAAAAATTATTACCTTTGATGGGAAAGTGGATTTTAGATTACAGAGAAGTGAAGTACTGTAATGTAACTATTTATTGTGCTGTAGCTCTTTTTAAATCTTAAAAAAATAGATGAATATTAATGACTACTGCTCTTTTATTTGTTAGAATAGTTACAAAAACTTGTTTGAAGCCTGGAAAATAAAGAAAAACATTAGCAACTCACACTGGATGCCACCTTATTTCCCTAATTATTCCCAAATAATCATTTCCTCACTGTACAAAAATATAGATTTTCCCCCAACTTCTACAAAATAATTACTGATAATCTAAGGCACGCATCACATTGTTTCTTCTTCTTTCAACTGATTCCCCATAATCCCATAACAGCGTCAATTTAATCTTTTAATTTATGCATTCTTGATTGTTCTTCAATGTTCAAAACCAATTATGCTCAGCAGAACTATCTAGCGTAAAAGTCACTTCAATATATAAGATATTTAGGGCAGTTCTATTATAAGATACCTGAATGTGATCCTGATAGTGAAGATAATAAAGATGATTGCTGAGTTGGCCCATCATATACTTCAACCACATCATGGAGAGATGTCTGGAAAAATACAAACTGGCCAAAAACCACTAAAAAGTTTAGGAAAAAAAAGGAAAGGAAAGGTTGAATGAAATACTGTATGTTGTTGTTTTTTTCAATTCCTGGCCAAATATACACTAAAATTATACTGATGTATGAAGCCATAATAGAATAGGTACACATGCAGTCATTTTTTTTCAGTTCAGTAGGATAAAAGAGGGTGAAAAGTAGTAAAATGAGGAATAAGATACAGATATATGTTGGAAGGAAAGATAATTAGGAAGCAACCTTTAGAAGCAACACGGCTATCATATGAAATTGTACAGAGGAAGATTCGGAACACCTCTTGTTCTAATTATGATTAACCAGATGTAAGCAAAGAAAAAGAAAAAAAAATAAATTTTCCTAGAAAAAAAAATTATATCTTTTTCATTTGAATATCATAATATATAATTTTGATTATAATGTTGGAAGTTTAATTAATTTCAGTGTGATGATGATGATGATTGACTGCTTAATATTCCAAATGAACCTGATTAGAATGCATTAGCTTAAATAGATAAAAAGAAAAGCAGAAGAAAAATACGTGAAACATGGAACAAGGTATAAGAAGTTTTGAATCAAATATATTTTACTCTTTATACTGTTTCCATCTTCCCTTAAAATATTAACAGAATCCACAATAGTATGAGAATCCGTGTTTCTCCTATATAACTGATGACCAAGCTGAAACTAAATTAATCAAGTAAAAATAGAAAACAGGGGGGGAAAAATCCCTTTCTCAAAGTTCTTCAAATCCCAAAATAAGTTACCCAGACCTAATCCACACATCAAAGGGTAAGGTCTGCAAACACAGAATTAATTAAATTATGTCTCCCAGAGGAACTGCATATTCACAAGAATAAACCTACCTATACACACGCCCCTAAAATGTCACCCTAGAATCAGCACGTGACACCCCAGATAAGCTCCCCCTTTAAAAAATTGCTCCTGTACCCCATTTCTCTGCAGCCCGCCCCTAAATACCAACTGTTTTTGCTTTTAGGAATAAACATTTCTTCTTTCCTCACAGCTGTCTGGATCTCATTTTTATTTAATCTCTCACAGACCCAGCTCAAGTTGGAACCTCAAATTATTGTTCTGACAAAGATTAATTAAGAATTACTATAGGATGAAATATAATGTTCCTACAATACAGAAATGCAATGGCAAAGGCTCTATGAAGGTAAAAAGTTTTAATTGTGGGAAACTAGGCTATAAGGAGAACAAAACTTCCTGAAGTTACTAAAGTTATCTAGTTTTCTAAAACTAACTTGGAAGAAAAGTCAATTAATGAAAGAAATATCTATTCTCTTTTCCAAAATGAAGAAAAAAAAATATTCCCATTTTATTTTGTTTTGGTCAGATTCCATCTCATTTATTTGTTCCACTTCTGGGCATTGCAAAAGTGTTGGAACAGATTCAGTGAATATCAAATAGAATAATCAAAAAACTAGAAATTAAACTCTATGCAGTGATTCAAGGAACTAGGAACAAAGTAATAATATCACAACAGTTTTCAAGAACAAGAAGGGATGCTATTTAAAAGAATCACAATTTGTTTTGCATTTGAGAGAATAAGATACCAAATAATGTATATACTGTATGTCACAGGAAAACAGATTCCAATTGAATTTTATAGGGAAAAAAGAGTAGTTTGACAAAGGAATTTATTGCCCTTGGTATTGGTAAAGGTAAAGGTAAAAGTTCCCCTTGCACATATGTGCTAGTCATTCCCAATTCTAGAGGGCGGTGCTCATCTCCGTTTCAAAGTCGAAGAGCCAGCGCTGTCCGAAGATGTCTCCGTGGTCATGTGGCTGACATGACTAAACACCAAAGGCACACAGAACGCTGTTACCTTCCCACCAAAGGTGGTTCCTATTTTTCTACTTGCATTTTGTATGTGCTTTCGAACTGCTAGGTTGGCAGAAGCTGGGACAAGTAACAGGAGCTCACCCCGTTATGTGGCACTAGGGATTCGAACCACTGAACTGCCGACCTTTTGATTGACAGGTTCAGCATCTTAGCCACTGAACCACCGTGTGTCCTACAGGATTGGTAAGGAGAAGCTAAATATTCATGTGGCAAGAATATTTTATATTAGGTTCCCGCCTTGAGCAATGGTTGGACCCAATGGTTGGCAAAAATGGTATCTTGCAACTTGTTGACTTGAATGGTAGGCTAGTTATATCAAATTTGGGGCAAAGAATTATGTTATCTTAGTACTTTTTTCCCCTGCTGCTTTCCAAACCAGAACGATTATACTACTACTGAGATACCAATTTTGGAACAATGCAGTCCTAGATATAACACCTTCAGCATGGTAACTATATATAATGTATTCACCAATGAAAGTCATAGGACGCACAAAAATCCCTATAGTCATACTGCCAACTCTGTTGGAAAAATGCAGGCTTCAAATGGGTCAAGGAATCTTAACACTTTGCTAGGGAAAAACTCTTTTTAAAAAAGAAGGGACAGAAGGGACATAATTCATTCTGACTCTCTCATCAGTCAACCAAAGTTCTCTGCTCATTGAGAGTAGACTAAGATTCAATCACCCTGCCATATTTTCTGTTTTGCTCTCCTCTCCTCAGCTTTGGAGTTTGCACCTTCTGCCTTGAACACTGATGTAGAGGGAGGAAAAAAAAATTAGAAACGGTATTAGATTTGTACAGGCAAGGTCAGAATGCTATCAGAAGGGGGAAACTGAGTTTAAGTGATGTACATGGAATGTTATCTCAAAAGCAACAGAAGTGCATCTTTAAGCAGATTAACAAAAAGGCTAGTTGGTTATGTGGGCCTGCATCTGCAGGAATGCACATAGATAATACACCAAAATCCAAACTCCTTCAAATAGTCTACAGCATTTTTACCTACTATGTTTTTACAATGGACGATTTTAATGTTTTTCAACATTTTTATGTTGTAAGGTGCCCAGAGTCATTAGATACAGCATGGGTGGCAAATACTTTATAAATAAACAAATAATTTTCAATTGTATCACTTTTAAATAACTTCATTCTAGTTACAACCCATTCTGGTTGTAACCAGAATGAATGAATGAATCAATGAATGCATTAATTCCTGCATTAATAACCCACATCCATTATGCAGAGAAAAGACAATTATTTGTCACAAAATAAGTAATTTACTTACTGCTTTTATGGAAATGATGGCATCAGCTATTTTAAATTAAGTAATATTTATTAAGTATTAATATGCTCAATAAATTTTCCCTTACTGGATGACGCCAACAAAAGTTAATGTAGGGCCAATAAAGACCAGGATCCACCTATATTAGTATAAAATTGCTGAATTCTATTCTAATTCAGCCCAAAAAGGTCAATTAAATTGTCTAACTTTCTGAACTTTTAAGATGGTTCTGATGAACTTGAGAATCATGACCTTTTCTTTACTACAGTTCTCTTCTGCATTTCTTTACCACAGTTAAACTTTCCTCGATAAACAAATCAATAATATTATTCCTTAGCTGGCTGATCTGCACATAGCTGCAATCCCAAAAGTTAAAGGAGGAAAATGTTCTATTAAACATTCCATTAAAGACAGATGTGTCCATAAATATGATAAAGTTGCACTATAACTGAGTATCTGCATGCTCACGCACACACAATTCAACATATACTTTATATTTATTGCCCAAAGCAAAATGAATTATGCTCTGTGATCAAAAGACTTTCCATTTTTCTTGGGAGTAGCAGAATAAACATAGCAGGAAACACATCTATTGTATTAGGTTGCAACTTTACAATTTCCAGGCACAAAATTTTCTGGGTAAGATGTTATCCATCTAGAACATGGATAGATTATTGCCAGATAGAATAGTCTAGGTGACTCAAAGGAAAGACACGGTCACCTAGAGACATCCTAAAGGTCATCAACAATGTCAAATTGGCTGCATACCTTGCTTTGCTTTGGGCAATAAACATGAAGCACATATTGGCAAATCCCTAACTGATATTCTCATATATGAGATAGTGATGTCTAGAGATATAGTCTGTCTTCAAAACTAATATCATTTTAAAAAATACGAAGCTAAAAACCTAGCAGACTGACTGAGAACCCTAGAGGGGAATCTACAAGAATCATAAATGACAACAAAATGAAGTATATGACTGGATGATTGAAGCCTCACACCTTTTAATGAATGCCACATGCATCACAATAAATGTAAAAAAGCCTAGGGCTTTGATTTTCTCGTTGAGCCCATCATTTTGATATTGCTGACTGCCCTGTGGATGGCAGCCATGCCTTTCCTTCACTATTTCCATATTTGGACCTGAAAACTCCCAAAAAGGTTTTAAGAAAGAAAAATTAAAGGCTTTGTTCAATGCTTCTGTTGGGTTGTTAATTGGTACAATTACTTAATGTAATTATCGAAGGGTAGATATACTCTATTTTCTTCACATATATTTCACATGTATTCGGAGCACTATAACAACAGAAACATATGGACAACATTTCTCTCTTTCTCTCTCTCTTCCTGTCTGTCTCTGTTTCTCTCTGTCTCTCTCTTTCAGTCTCTCTCTGTCTCTCTCTCTCTGAGTATGTGCCTGTTTCTGTCTCTCTCTCACACACATACATACTAATCAGACTAACAAACTTTTCTGTCAGGTTGAATTTGAGCTGCAAAATGTATTAAAAGTACTAAATTGAAACACTGATATTTTCTGAAAATTATCTGTGTTCAAAGCAGTCATTATTCTTACAATTTTTGAAATGTCGAGCTCCATTATGCACATATTCTTGGGCAGTCAATTGAAAGCCAGCTATCCTAATGACAATTCTTCCTATCTCAAATAAATCAAGCTCCAATAAAACAAAGAATAATTATTCCAAAGAATAAGTTGTGGTGCCCATTTTAAAAAGTTGATTATTATTCATGCATTATTCAGGGAGAAAAAGAGAGACAGAGAGAGGGAGGGAGAGAGCAGAGAAAATTCATAATTCATCCTGAATTATTACTTTTACCACAATCTGATTTGTGGAC